AGTGTCATAAAGGTGAGGTATGCACCCTCTTGTGGTTGCATTATTTGAGAGAAGATAGAGACCTCTCAATATTTGCTCCCTCTACCCATTCATATAAATGAGTAAACAATAGTGATTCTACAGTGGGAGCATTATTTGATGCTACACGGGGACAGTCACCCTCAGCAGCAGTATCTCATGATTAATACATGATAACTACAGGAAAAAATTGAGAGTTACAACTCTAACTGCAGTTCAATGAATCCCGGATGACCGCCAGAGGCAGTCCTTCAAGCACTGGATGATCATTCTTGTGTATGAGCAGGTCGAGAATTTAATAACAGCAAAGTCACCTTTGACCTCCAGTAGCTCAGGTGAGTCTATCATCATGTGACACTGGTAGCTCAGTCCCTAAAACCTTCTCATAAAAGCGCAAGGATTCTGAGGGACCGGGCACTCTGGCGTCATCCAGGATTCATAGAACCGCAATTACAGTCGTAACTCTCACTCTATTTCATCCCTACTAACCGCCAGAGGTGGTGCTTCAAGCACTGGTACTGATACCAGCAAGGTCACAAGGAATCATATGGAGCCTGCCACGTTGTACCCCAGCCCACTAGGGACACATCCGTGTATACAACTTCCCTCCTGGCAGTAAGAACCCAGAGGATAAACCTTGCAACATGAATTCTTTGTTCCTCCACTGAGGCAGGAATGCCATGTACTGAGAGGTGACAAGCAATCATCACCTTCTGTGAGCATGACACACGGGGTCCAGGTGTAGGCTATAGAGCCACATCTGAAGGGGGTGCAAGGAAAGGAACCCCAGGGGAACCACAGCTGAGGCAGCTGTCAGTTTGCAAAGAAGGGTGAGGAACTTCACCTAATGGAGGACCCTCCCATACTGAAATTCCGGAAGCATGTCCAGAATGTTCCTTATCCGCTTAGCTGAAGGATGTGCAGTCATCCCCCCCTGGGTCGTACGTTCCAAGGCTTCCAGGGCAGCTGATCCAAACAGCTTCTCAGGGAGAACCGGAACACACCGCAGTGTCTGCTGACTGGCCTCCAAGAGAGGGGATTGTGGTAACCAGACCTGACGCCGAGCTTGAACTAATGTTGACAGCAGATGCCCAGAGAAATGAGGGCAAAAGCTTGTAAGGATGCATTGAGCAGTCCTTCCGGAGGCTGGTCCACAGTAACAGCCTCCAAAGAAATAGACAGGCCAAGCAGCAGATGGGACAGAGAATTTCCAGTCTGACACATGCAAGTTCCAATGGCATATGCTTTACAGAGCAGGTTGTCTGTAACACGGGATTGTGGCCGCAGACACCGGGAATTCGTCCACAGTGTCTCTTCAGGGGGAACAATAAGTGAGGCTATGGATGGCTCTGCCGGCATGTGTCCCAGACGAAACTTGTGCTGATCTTGCATTGCAGCCAATGCCCAACCATTTGAAGTAGGCTTTGAGAACGCCTTGGTATCCGTCCATCAAACATGAAGATTCATTACATATTCCACCACAGATGAACTGCAAAGTGGGAAACAGTAGACTGCCAACGAACGAAGGCACTAGAGGGAGCCATCTCAACCAGTGGCACATCCAAATTTAAACAGCCGAGAGCTGTGTGTATTGCTACAGTGATGGACTCATCACTTCCAGCCTGAGGCCAGGTAGAGCACAAAAATCCCAAGTCTGAGACTTTAGAACTCAGGTCATCACATCCCAGTTGAAAATGGGTGTCAGAGGCCACCACAGACCTGGGCAAAATACTGCAGTTAAAACATGCATCATCAGTTAGAGCCTCCCGCAGATGTTCCTCCCCTAGACAGGTGGGGCATAGGTCATGCCCATCATCTGGCTGTAGTGGAGCCAGACAGGACTGGCAGCATAAGGACTCGAGCATTGTGGCAGCGTACCACAGCTCAGTATAAGATAGAAGTCTATTAATCTATACACTAGAGTCGTGTCGACTCAGCAGTAAACCAGCGTGTACCAATGAAGGTGAGACCGGGTCAGGTCGAGCAGGGAACGGCACTAGTGACCCACAAACAACACCATACTCTGAATTGGGCGCTCCACAATAGGGTCAGGTCAAGTAGAGAAAAATGCCGCTAGTGACCCACTTATAGTGTCAGGAAAGTAACCCATGAAAAAATAAATATGGATTACATTGTCTTATATTATTGAGCTATGGCCTAGATGACCTCTAAAAGGCAATGAAATACAGTAAATTGTCCAAACTTCCCCTGGTGAGAAGACCCCTGACACAATATCACACATTGTAATATTAAATTCAAACACCAACAGAAATCTGTACAAAGTACTGTACAAAGTACAAAGATCGCAAACTTTTTCGCCCCTGAACCCAGTGTCCTCCTTTTTGATAACCCAAATCTGGTTACCCTACTAATGCCATACTGTGGAACATTCCAGATAAAGCAATAACTCCTCCATGAAAAAATGCTTTTGACGGACCCTCCATCAGAAAATTTACACAATACACATCTTTAATAACCCAAGGGTGGCTACTATGAGGTTTGGCTTAGCTGCTTTCTCTGTTACACCCACAACCACAGAGATAAAGAAATGTCTCAAAGTCCTTTGTAGGAGTAGCTACTCAGAGTGTCTCCTCACCAGTGCAGAGGCAGGGACTGAAAATGACTTCGAATCTGCTCTACACGTTCCTCGCTGGTTTTTTGACGCTCATTTTGCTAATTTACATAAAATACCCCTATTTTTTACACGATTTGAGATACACCATCATCGCTATTGGCATACGTATACGCACGAGCAAATTTAAGAAGCAAACGCCATATTACACAATTCTGGATAGATTTTTGGAACAAGCGAAAAACCAACCGGAAAAAACTTTTATTATTTTCGAGGGCCGCAGGTTTACGTACAGTTACGCGGATAAGGAGAGTAACAAAATCGCCAGGGCGCTGCAGAAACACACAGACTTGAAGGAGGGCGACACCGCGGCTGTGTTTTTGGGAAACGAGCCGGACTTCGTGTGGCTCTGGCTGGCTCTGTCCAAACTGGGATGCACCGCTGCGTTACTCAACACAAACATACGGTCCAAATCTCTGCTGCACTGCTTTTCCTGCTGCGACGCCAAGATCCTCGTGGCTGGAGCTGGTACGTGTAATCACAAGAGTACTGTAAATGTAATCACAGGAGTACTATACTGCCCTACAAAGGCAAAAGATCTTGAGTGTGGAACTGAGAAAAATGACTTCAGAGTTTCTGTTTTTTTATAATTTTTCTGACAAAAGTATAAATAGTATATAAGTAGGCCTCCTAAAAATTGACAATTAGTTGCTATAACGAAGAAATACTTGTATTAAAAAAAAAAAAAAAAAAAAAATAGCAATAACTAGAAAAGCACTCAGAGAGCGCAGACCTCCGCCAAGGACTACCCCCATTTTTTATATAAATTGCGATAAAATCAGTCTTCTGGATCAGATCCGGATCAGCCTTTGGAATATGAAAGAGGATCCCATTGTCCATCCCTGAGTCAAATTTCATGGGGTTTGGTCAATAATTATCCGAGATATTGAGAAACAAAATTTTTGGCCCCATTTACCACAATGTTAACTAAAATTTCAAAGTGATCCAGAACCCAGGATTTCTTCTGGATCACCCCCAAAATGAAATCAGTTCTCCCTTTTCACATTTCCAACAAATCCTGAAAATTTCATCAAAATCGGTCCATAACTTTTTGAGTTATGTTGCTAACAGACAAACAAACAAACAGACAAACAAACAAACAGACAAACGCCGGCAAAAACATAACCTCCTTGGCGGAGGTAATAATAAATATTGATCTCAAAATTTATCTTTGACCATTATTTGGTAGTTGCTGTCCTCTGCCTTTGTATCATGAGCCAAAAAAGGCAAAAGGCAGTACCTGACATGATCATCATTTGTTTGATTTTCACCAGACTTACATCTATTTTAAGAACACCTCACCAAGGTCTAGTCATCATGGTGTTTGTTTGAAATGATACAGAAGAGCTTTGGATTTCCTATTTAGTGCTGATCAGGATTGTGCAGCAACACAGTTAAACAATTTGACAGACAAGTGACTTTGCAGTATAGTATGAATAAATACAAAACTTTTGCATTAAAGATAATTTAAGTATAATTGAATACAAAGGTATATTTATTTAATGTGCTATTATTTAAAGACCCTGAGCCAAGGCCACAACAAAAAGAAGAAGGTGAGAGGTTGCATTTTAAAATAAAATATATTTATTAACTAAATCAGAAACTAAATATATACTATTACTGCCTTTTACACGACTCCTTATTTTTAGCACAAAGACAGAGTACAGGAACTGCCAAATAAGGGTCAATTTTGATTTTTCAGTATTTATTTACATGATAAAAGAGGTCTCAAATACCCCCAAAACAACATTAACAAATTTTTGACCAAACATGATGTTACAGCGTTCTGCCTTTGTAGGGCAGTATAGCCTATATGGTGTTGGTGGGTTTCAGGTTACAAATTATCTCTTTCCAGCTCATTACAGTTTTGTTTTGTTTTGTTTTTCCCAATTGATAACATTGTACTTACAACTAGCTGCCTAAAAAGCTTCATATGAACACTTTAGTGCAAAGAGCTGGATAATAGGCACAACATGAACCTCTTAAGCAATTGTACTAAACTATTACTGTTACTGCTACTGTTACTGTAGTAACTGTTTTATGTTTTATTCCATTTTACTGGACTAATTAGTGACATGTAACACCTCTGACCCTCCAAACACTTTAGCCAGTCATTGTCTCATTGTGTTACTGTGTTTTAAAATTGTCATACATTTACAGCTCCATTTATCACCTTGGTTGGTTGGTACAAGTGCTGAATTATAAGTGTCTCTTTGAGGTTGAAAATTATGTGCAATTTTTTTTGGTGATATTTATTTGTGAAATTATGTGCAATTTTTAATAGTCTTTTTTATTATTACTGGATTGGTTGCTTGTCTTGACCTGTTCTGAATGACAGTAGCTCAGGTGGTAGAGCGTTTGACCACTGACCCACAGGTTGGCGGTGCGATTCCAGCTCCCACGGATGAATGCTGTTGTTTTGTCCTTGGGCAAGACACTTAACCCACCTTGGCCCCAGTGTCTGCGTAGACTGGTGCATGAATGTGTGTGTGAATGGGTGAGAGGTTCCTTAATGTGAAGCGCTTTCAGTGCCTCAAGTCAGTCCTATTCACAGAAGGAATTATTGTATTTTTGAGCAATAGAAAGACCCACAATGAATAAATGCTACAGATGGATATGTTTAATGTCATACCATGGAACATTCTATGCAAATCCATATCATCTCTGTGATGACAAGCACATGGCAGACCCTCCACCAGAAAAGCTGCACAAAGCACCTTTAAGTTAAGCTTTACATAAAGTTTCTTAGGTTATTTAAAGGTGCACCGTGTAACTTTTTTGGCAGAGGGTCTGCCACCTGCTTGTCCCCATGGAGATATTACTGTTTTTTTTCCCCTTGATTATTCCACAGTATGGAAATAAACTTGGTAATCACAATGGAAACAGGTTAATGTTTTTTGAGCTATAAAACACCTGTAACTGAAAAAATGCAAAAGAAATTAGTTTAATGCCCTACTGTGGAACATTCTCCATGGAGACAACCAAGTAGAGGAGAGGACATTAGAAGTTACATAGTGCACCATTAAGGGGAACAGGGAATGGTATCAAAGGTTAAAAACTGTAGAATGTGCACATGTTAATGCAATGTTTCCTACAGAAAATATATTTGAATCATTTTATTTAATACAATATTTTGGTGTATAAATGTTACTTATTTCCTCTACTGAACAACAAATACTGAGTATAGATTTAAAAGGGTGTCTTTCTTCTTGTTTAACAATGTTTAGGTGGGTTTAAACCTGACAAAGGGTTACTTTTATATATTTATGACATAAACGTATATGTTAAATGTTAATAAAGTTTTATTTGTTTTACCATGTTTTGCTCAGCTAATTTTCAGATATTAGAATATTAGATTATGGGGGCAACAATAGTCTCTTCTTTTAATCGTCAAAATATATAAGAAACTAAGGCATTTAGGCTTTTTCTTTGCATTTTATTGTTTCTGAATTGGTTTTGCTGCACTGGACTCTGATTTTAAAGGTGCACTATGTAACTTTTCTGGAAGAGGTTACGCCACTTGCTTGATATTGCTCAGCCCAGAATGTTCCATGATATGGCTTTTTATATCTCCATGGAGGAAAGCAGGTCACACCATCCAAACAAATGTTTTTCAGGGCATTTCTGAACAAAATAAACACCTGTAATTGAATTTAATGCCATACTTAGGATAATTCCAGGCAAAGCAGTAACATCTCCATGGAGACAAGCAGGTGGAGGACTTGCAACCAGAAAGTTGACATAGTTAACCATTAAGTTTTGTGTTCTTTTAGGTGTAATTGTAAGAAATGCAGTTTTGAAATGTGCTATATAAATGAGGTTACTGTAATCATAACTTCTGTCATTTTGATTGATCCTGTTGCTGTTCTTGTGTCAGATCTGCAGGGGGAAGTAGAGGAGGTGCTGCCTGGTTTGAAGGATTTGGGCGCACATGTGTTTGTTTTGGGACAGGGGAGTTGTGTGGACGGTATCGAGACTCTGTCTGATAAGATCCAAGAGGCCTCAGACCAGCCCCTGTCCCTGCAGCTCAGAGCTAATGTTAAAATCAGCAGCCCCGCCCTGTACATCTACACCTCTGGGACCACAGGTGAGACACTGGTCATGTGTACACAGTAGGGGAGTACGAAAAAATCAATTCAGTGATAGATTGTGATACTTCACTGCACAATACTCTAATCGATTCAAAATGCATCCAAATCGATTTCTTTAAATTATATTTTTTTAACAAAAAATGATTTTGTTTTATTCACTGTTCTCATTATTTAAAACTGTAATAAATTATACAATTTTGTTCTTATGAAAGTGTAGTTGACTTTATTATTAGCAAAAATTATACATATATTTTATATGCATTGTATATAGGTTATGAATATAATACTATAGCCCACATAATACTTGTATAATAATAAATGCCAGAGACAGGCAGTCATTTTGGTCACTATTGGTTGGACTATATCTTGAATGAATATAAATATTTTATCTTATGTTTCATCAGTCACCTGTCCTAAACTTGCACTGTGTTTGGTTATCACAATCAGAACACAAAATGCAATGTTTACACAGCAGCACATCCTGATCCGCCACTCACAACCAGTCCCAGCAATGTCAACAAAACAAAACAACTCATGAAGCTGCTATAACTACAATAAGAGGTCACAACACCAGCTTGTGGTATCAGCGCTGCTCCAACAAAGTACATGGCAAAACAGTGAAGCAGCTACTTAGCACCCATGAGCTGGTGTGTGATAAGTTAGTAAGTAATTATTGAAAAAAATTGCAATATATCATCCATTGTTTTAGTATCGGAATATACTGGAATATTTTGAATTGTGACATGCATATCATGATGTGTATTGTATCGTCAGACTCAAGACAATAGTACACACACTAGTACCCTAGTACACACACACACCAAAAATGTGATCATTAACTGATTTCTGGAGTTGTCAGGTTAAAAGTTACATCCAAGTTTAACATGTCAGCATGACATGAACAAAAAGGAAATAGGTTTAGAGGGTGGTGTCATTACTCAACACCAACAATGTGATGGTTGTCAGTTAAAATGACCATGCCATAAAATTATTTATATGTTTTTACACTTACAAACAAATACGGATTAAAGATGAAGTTCAACATGTGACTTTTTTGTCTGCTGTTTTAGTCAACATTTTGAGGACTTTGATTTGATCTGTTTTGTTAACAATGACGTAATATAAAAATGTATAATGAAAGGACATGTCCTAGAGTGAACCCTTTTATCTTTCAAACGATAGTCAAATACTATGGCAGTGGTCCTAAGTTTGTAGTCCCCCTGCCCTCCACACTGAGATAGAACAGATCAATAAATCAAATTATAGAACGTGAAAACAATCTATGTAAATCCCATCTCTGAAACATATTCATCAGTTTCAGGGTACAGTTATGTGCTATAGTATTTTGTATACAATTGTTAGTCACTATGGCAACAATCCTAATTTTATAACTTGTGCGTGCTTTGCAACAGGTCTCCCCAAAGCTGCTGTGGTCACCCATAGGAAGGTATGGTTTGCTTCCTTTGTCCTGACCTTTGCTGGAGTGACCTCGAGCGATATCCTCTACCTGTGCCTTCCCCTGTACCACACCTCAGGCTTCCTCCTGGGGCTCGCTGCGGCCATAGACAGAGGTAAGGTTAAATGTGCCCTGTGGAACTTTTCTGGTACCTCCTTGTCCCCATAGAGATGCTACTTTGTTTCAGATGACAAAGCATTCTATAGGCCAATTTTACCTTTTGTAGTGTAATCAATAGGGAAATCTGGCTTTTGCCCTCCATTTGGGAGTATGACGATATCACATCATTTAGAAAATATTGTGTTTTTAATTATTTTATTCGTAGGTTTGACGGTTGTGTTGAAGCGCAGGTTTTCTGCCTCTCAGTTCTGGGATGACTGTAGAAAATACAACGTCACTTCGGTCGTCTACATAGGAGAGATGCTGCGCTACCTCTGCAACTCGCCCAAGGTAATTTAACAGACTTAGTTTAGACATCTACAAACACTCAGCAGTTACCATGGTGACACAATGCACTCATGAACAAAGATATGTTTTAGATTGTTTGAAAAAAAAAAAAGATTTAAACAATAAATTTTCAGGAGCCTGTAGTCAATATGGTCCCATTTTGGGGGTTTGATTTTCAACAAAAAGGTGCGGGTGACTAACATAAATAATATTCAGCCACCTGATTTGTCCCTGATTCCTGTGGAATGCCATAATCTGGCAGAGGTCTTCAGCAAAGAGAAAGCACTATCACTACCCCCACATCACCCATATGATTGTGCCATCGATCTTCTCCTTTTCTCTCTTTCTCCTCTTCTCCGCTGCACTTCCGTCCAGTCATCTTTACATCTCTCCAGTTCAGGCCATGAAGCCAAAGAGAAGTATAATATTGATTCCTTAGCTGCAGGAATGATTCGACCATCATCATATCCTGTTTGTGCTGCTGTTTTCTTTTGTTTCCAAGAAAGAGCAGTCCCTCTGATCTTGCATTGATTACAGGGGTTTGAACAATATAACCATATCTGCATTTGAAACACTGCATGGTACTAAAATATTTACAAAACTGGAGCTCAGAAATGCTTACCACCTGGTCCAGATGCAAGAAGATGAATGGAAGACGGCATTTAACCCTCTTCTTGGTCATTTCGAACATCCGGTGATGCCTTTTTGGACTGACAAACACTCCTGCTGTGATTCAGACATTAGTCATGTCCTCCATGACTTTCTCAACAGATTCATTTTTGTCTATCTACATGATATTCTCATCTTTTCAAACTCTCCAGATGAACACACGATTCATGCTGAAGTCATGTCAGTTCTTCAAAGACTTTTAGAGACTTTTTTTTTCTTTTTTTTATTTGTTAAAGCGAACAAGTGTGAGATTAACAAACCTTCAGTTATCTTCTTAGGGTTTATAATTCAAAGTGGGCCAATCCGGTCTGATCCAGAGAAAATGTGTCCAGTCACAGAGGGGCCTAAACCAAACAGTGTTAAGCAGCTCCAGCACTTTCTAGGCTTTGCCAACTTTTATTGCCGATTCATCCATGATTTCAGCAAAATAGTTGCTTCGCTCACCCAACTGATGTCTCTAAAAACAACCTTCAAATGGACTGAAGCGGCTGAGCTGGCCTCCTTGGCGTTAAAGAAGTGTTTTTCATCAGGTACAATCCCTGTGGGAGACTGTGAACTTCTGGCAATTAAGTTTGCACATTTTCATTTTTAGTTTGGACAGACCATAAGAACCTGGCCTAGGACTGCAAAATGCCTCAACCCTCACCAAGCCGGCTGCACCATATGCTTTATTCTGACAATTTTCCTCCAGACACACTTGAACCGGCTTATACCATTCTCCCTTCTGAACGTGTTGTGGCAGCAGTTACTTGGGAGATTGAATCCATCATAAGGAGAGCTCAACAACAACAACCATATCTAGGTAACAATCCACCTAACCATTTATTTGTGCCAGATTCTGCTTGTTCCCCATTTATGGGAAGGGCCATTTATCTCATTTTGCATTTCATCCTGGACTTGGGCGCACAACAGATCTTCTAAAGTGGCCTACCCTGGATGTTGATACTAAAGACAAGACAAGGTTTCCCATCGACCACCAGCTGGACTACTGTCTCTCACCCTCTGCCTATTCCGTCGCACCTCTGGTCACACATAGCCCTCGAAACCGTCACAGGTTTTCCCAATTCCACAGATAACAACCCCTCCTCATGGAGCTCCTATCTACACTAGGTGGAGTATGCACACAATTCCCTGAAAAGTTGTGTCACCATTTGAATGTTTTGTTCCCTGCCCAAGAGACAGAAATAGCAGTGCCATCTTTTCAGGTCCATCTCCATCATTGCCGTAAAATATGGAGAAATGCTTAGGCTGCCTTAAAGTGCACTGCTGATCGAAATCGCCAAATCGCAGACCACCATCGGGTGCCCTCTCCTGCCTAACTTTCGCCACATTATATTGGTCCATTTATCCCTGAGAGTATAATCAGTCCCACCATTGTTAAGCTGAAGTTGCCTAAATCAATGAAAATTCACCCTGCTTTCCATGTGTCTCATCTTAAACCTGTGCATTCTACTCCACTATCCATCAATCCCTCCCTGCCACTTTGTCTATATACCATCAGCATTTTTGTCCGGCCATCTCACATCTCCAGCACCTGCACTTCTGGACTCCCCAGCTCCATTACCTACCTGCACCTGCAATCCCGCATGAAAGTATTCAGATCCTGATTGGACAATGTATCTGAATACATTACAAAATACATTTTACTGCAGGTATTCAGCACTCTGCATCTAAATGCATTTTCAACGTATTCTTCCCATCCTTGGTTATATTTTTATTCCTCAGAAAGACAACGATAAGAACCACAAAGTGCGACTTGCTGTGGGTGTTGGTGTCCGTGCGGACACATGGGAGCAGTTTCTGCAAAGATTTGGACACGTTCGGATCTGTGAGTGCTACGGCTTAACAGAAGGAAACATCGCCTTCATCAACTACTCCGGGAAAATCGGAGCCATTGGCAGAGAACATTTTCTTCATAAAGTAAGACAAGACACAAGCAAACTACTTCAAAGAATAGATAAATAATGGTGCATTGTGTAACTTTTTGGTGGAAGGTCCATCATACGCTTTTCTCTGTGGAGATACTTTGTCTGGAATGTTTTGCAATATGGTATCAAACCTTTCCATCTTCATGGAGACCAAACCAGAGCAAGTTACAAGTCAGATCTGTGGATAGACAACCCTGCTCAAAGTCAGAATGCCCATTTTTCTATTTTTGAAGTATAAAGGCTTAAAATATATAAAGGTATAAAATTGAGTACATGTAAGGTGGCGCTGTTTAATGCCATATTGTGGAACATTCCAGTCAGAGCAATGACATCTCCATAGAAACAAGCAGGTGGTGGACCCCGAACCAAAAACTTATGTAGTGCACCCTAAAATGAATAAAATGTGGCAATGGGGCTGCTGATTTTGGCAGTGAATGAGTTCTGTTCAGTCTACAAAGTGGTTTTAAAGCTTTCCAGAGAATTGGTGCATGGTTGACTTGTTTTACACAAATCAACCTATGTTATATTCTGCAGCAAACTCTCTGTTGAAATGAATGGGATTCCTGCTCAACTGGAAGTGCCACCACAAACACAGCAAAGTTTAGAAGCATTTAGAGGCAAAAGTGGGTGGGGCAGAATAAGGTCAATACTAGTGTAGAGGAGTGGTTGTATTATTTAGAAATGAAAGAAACATAATGGTTTGAAAGGTGACTGATTAAACATAATGTTCAACAGACTATAATCTGAGGTTTCTCCTTATTGTGACACATTGCAATTTGCATACAGACTATAGCAGGGCCTTAGCAGAGCCTTAGCACAGCAAACATTCTGTTGCACCTGATCTGTAAACATTTGGAATCTCTTCTTGTTCAAAGACTATTTGACTTGAATGTCAGCCCTGCACTTGTGAAACAACAGTACTTTTCGGCTGGTTCGGCTCTTTAACTGTCCAATGTAAAACTAAACTTGAAAAAACTAGTAAATAAGGCCATGAAGGTGATTGACAGGAAAAAGTTTCCTTCTCTGCAGGACATTTTTCAAACCTGTGTGTTTGCTCAGGCCAGACAGATTGTCATTAACCCCTCTTACCGTTTGCATAGGGAATATGAAATTCTTCCATCAGGCAGGCGGTGGCGCTATTGAGTGCATCACTTTAAGTGTAACAGATATAGACTCTCATTTGTGGCCACTTCTATCGCACTGTTGAACAAGTCTGCACAACAAAGGTGCACTTAAGTCACATTGTTCAATAATGTTTATGCAGTATGAGTGGTGCAATAATTATTTGTGCAATAATTGTTTGTGCAATACACAACAATGTATAACTTAGACACTTTATAGTTATGCAGTGCACACATGGGCAATGGACATTATCAGTGGACATATGTATCTTGCGACTGATGTCTGACTATGTGCAAGTGTAACTGTGTTTTAAGCTGCGGGCAGTGAGCCCAAGACACAATAAAGTTTATCTTAACTTATTTTATAAACAGGCTATGATGGGTTAGATTTGTAAATATACTAAAGGTGCACTATGTAACCTTTCCCTCACCTGATTGTCTCCATGGAGATATTTTTTGCATTGCCATTCCAAACGAAGTAATAAAATCTCCATGGTGATGAACCTTATTGGAAAAGTTGCATAGTGCACCTTTAATTCTGTTGTCTAATGATGATGTACTGAATAATCACAGAGGGGCTCTCCATACTTTTTGATAAGATTTGACACTGAAACAGAGGAACCTGTGAGAGACTCTAAAGGCTTCTGCACTGAAGTTCCCCGAGGTGAGTGAGTCCCTGATCGCAGTTTTGTGTCACTGCTAATTTCACAGGTTATGTGGGGTTATTGTAGCTTTGAATAGTGACCGTGGCCAAATCATGATTAGGAATTATGACTAAAGCAGTGAGACTGGGACCAATAAAACAAGAGAGTATTGAATAATAATAAAATTATAAAATGGCCATTTATTATTCAAAAACAAAGTTAGTAAAATGTGTCCGGCACAGAATAATGTTAGTAGGTTAAAATAGATAAGAGAAATTACTAAAATCTTATGACAGAATAGGCTTAGACCAGTTGACTCAAACAGTGTCCCTGCATCTTTTTGCCTTAGGAGAGACTGGTTTGCTGGTTGTAAAGATCGGAGAAACATCACCATTTCAGGGATACGCGAAAAACCAACAACAAACAGAGAAGAAAATACTGAAGGATGTTTTTGTGAAAGGAGATCGCTACTTCAACTCCGGAGATCTTATGAGGATGGACCAACAAGGATTTGTCTACTTCCAAGATCGAGTTGGAGACACCTTCAGGTCAAATGAAGTAGCACAGAAGATTATTGCTTCTCAATATTTCACTGGATTACACTATAGATCAAATAGTTAAAAATATTTACTTGTTTATTTTTATTATTATTTGGTTTGGTGGGATAGTATCTTGTAAGGTTTTAGTACTCGTATTGTAATAGGAACTACATTAAATTTAATTAGGCAAGTAATTAATCTAAATGGGGAATTGTATCTCCACAAGGTTGGAATTGTATCTCCACAAGGTTGGATCTGCAAGGGGGTTTTCTGGCACATGCTGTGGATGTCATGTTGTAATTATAATGTATGTTTTAACTTTGCAGGTGGAAAGGAGAGAATGTAGCAACTACAGAAGTGGCTGACCATTTACTCACAGTGGACTGTATTGAGGAGGCCAATGTTTATGGTGTTAAGGTTCCAGGTAAAACAATAATATATATATACATATATACATGTGTATATAATGTATAGTGTGTGCCCTGTGTTAATTCATTATTATTCTTTGGCTGATAGGACATGAGGGCCGTATTGGGATGGCAGCGCTGAAGCTCAAAGAGAACATGGACTTTGACTGTAAAGCTGCTCATCAACATGTGAAGAACTTTCTCCCGAGCTACGCGCGGCCACGCTTCATACGAATACAGGTAACTGTCACCCACCTGTAGGACTGTAGGTTTGGGGAGAAAATGAAATGCATTTTCATCTGTGATCTCACTGTCACATTATTCACTTTGCTTGAGCTTACAGGTCTGTATACTGTGGAACATTTTAGGCATAGCAAAAACAATAAATTAGCACCATCAATTTACAGATCAGAGATCTGGAGGTTATTGGCAAAAAACACCTTGCATAACTAATTCAAAATAATTTTAATGCCATACTAAAGAACATTCCAGCAGCATCCAACAGCAGTCGTCTTTCTGCAAAAGACTTCACCCACTTTGTCTGGTATGAATGCGTGTGTGAGTGTTGGTGGTCAGAGGAGCCGATGGCGTAGATTGGCAGCCTCACTTCCATCAATCTGCCCTGGGCCCGCTGTGGTTACATGTATTTTAATCTACGGGTGGCTGGAGCAGCACTAAGTCAAGACAAACCTGCAGTGACAACCAGAAACCAGATTTCAACAGTTTATAGCAGATCTACGACTAGACCAAATTTAAACCAAGACCAGGACTAAAGCATGTCTACAACTATTGGGAATTCACTCCCTCCAAACAGACAAAAGGCTGAAATCAGGGGTCAAAACGTTTCCGTTTAAAATGACGTTTAATCCCAGTGAACCACTGCTGAACTCCGATGTTTGTGTGTTACTGTGAAGAGCCTTGGGCAAACAAGTCGCGTATATTAGAGAGAGAGAGATACTGTCTGACCTCACAGCATTAGGGTTTGTTCACTCAACAGTAGGTGGGTACTTTTTTTATTTAACCACTTGCTGCTATTTGGTCATGATGTATCTAATACGTCACGACTAACGGGGCTAACTGGTATACTAAGCTTTGCCCAAATCCCGTAGGAAGAAGGGCAATAACGTCCTTCCCCTTGATAAAATAAAAATCCACCAAAGATTCTCTTTGTTCTGGCCTTAAAACCTCCATCTCGAGCATCATTGCCAACACAGAATGTATGGCTTCATCTACATCTATCTCGACCCCTTTGTTTACTGTTGTGCTGTACCACAAAAAGGACCCAGACAGGCGCTTGAGTTTGATGTCATGGCTTCACAGCTCTTCGCTGATTGTTTGGTGCGTGGTCTACAACTTCCAGGGTTCTTGCGAATCGTCTAGTGTATTCTGATTCCTGACCTAGTTGCTGGAGAGAAATGAAACTGAGCGGAGGCACTAGGTGGCGCCAGCCTGGCTAGGTTGCCTGTGAGTCTTAGTCAAAGTCTCAGTGCGGTTTAACAGGAGGACTGGTCAGGGAGGGTCAGCAAATCCTGTGGAAGAGCCAAAAGTGTCCCTCGTCTGTGTCCTGCAGCATCACAACAGTGTCCAGGGGAAGCAGGTGAACACAACAGGAAAGGCCCCATTCTTACTTCACTGTGGTGTTTTGGTTGGTGATGAAACGGTTGATTCCCTCAGAGTGTTTCTTCTGGAAGATCTTCTGCCACATATGGTGTAAAAGACTTGTAGCATCTCAAATGTCCATAGCTAGCTCCTTAGCCTTTTGCACAGTTTCCATGGGTACTAGAAAAACAAACAGTTAATTTCATGCAATCCAAGAGTCCCTTGTGTTTGTTCTTTGAAAGTAGTTCCTCTGAAGGTCTTCTGCCACATTTGCTGCCACATATGTTGTAAAAAGCCTGTATCATCTCAAATGCCCACCTAGGGGCATCGTTGCTCAGTTGGTAAGAGAGTTTGTCCACTGATCCAAAGGTTGGTGGTGCAATTCCAGCTCCCACAGACAGATGCTGTCATTGTGTAAAGCGCTTTGAATGCCTTGAAGGTGGAAAAGGGCTATATAAAAATGTGACAGTTTACCATATTCTTAATTGATTGGTGATTGTTATTGATTGATGGTTTCATTGTTTTCCTCAGCCCTGCCTGGATGTGACGGGAACATACAAACACACAAAGGTGAAGTTGATGGAGGAAGGATTTGACCCAGCAATCATCAAAGATCCTTTGTTTTTCCTTGATGATGCTAAAGGTTACATTCCCATGACACAAGACATTTATGATTCTTTAGTTGAAGGCAAACTCCGACTCTGAGCCAAGTGCACCTGAAAAACCCAAACCAACTAATCAATATGTAACCGTAATATTAAGACGTTTGCCTACAAAAGGACACTATAAGTGAGCTAACTTTTCTTTCTGTGTTATTGCTATTTACCACTGTATGCCACAAGTAACAGGTTAAATCTGTAGAGAGGGAAGCCTGCTTACTGTAAGAACACATTATATTAAGTTAAATGTCATATTAACATTCCATCTGAAGCAATAACCACTTCACCAGAAAAGTTACATAGTGTATCTTTAATTTTTGGCTACAGTAAATTTTAACTTAGCTACGAAGTCACTGATCCTCCAAATTATTTTCAGTAATATTTTGTTTTTCATATGAACTCAAGTTTTGCACTGTAATCATTTCCTTTGTCACAGAACATTATCACTATAGTAAAATGTATACAGTACATACAGACATTCATTTTTAATCTACAATACGAAATCCAAAAAAGGCTTTCTCAAATTGAAAATAAGTAAATAAATAAAAGTTTGTGTAAAGCATTGTCGAGATTTCTATTATACATTGCATTTTTTTTTTTCTATACAGTTTTAAACATGTTTTAGGGTTTAGTTTCCCAGTGGGCCATTGAATCTCAAACCATGACTCAAGTACTTAACCAATACAGCATTAAATAAAAAATAAAACAAACATAGTAAAATATATTCTTTTTACTAAGTGTGACACTTAAAACTTGAAAAACAGAACCAGTTCATTTTAGTGAAATATTAGATTTTTGAAATCAAACTTTCTAAATGATTAATTAAAGTGTATGTCATGTAAAATGTATTTTTTAAGTACTTTTACTGTTTTGTAGACAAGATTGAACAAAAAGACTTATTCTTGCTTGCAAACTACCATCATAAATGTTTACATTTACACAATTACATTGTGGCCTAAATTTTAATTAACAGAATTACTTTGACATCCCTACAAGACAGTATCATTAATGGTCATATATATTACACAAAATTGACTCTTCTGAGCTTTAAGTCATGTTATAATATTGTTACCAGATCAAAACATACCCAGATTAGGTTTTTGTTTCTTTCACATATGCTTGAGTAAACCTGCATTATTAGGCTGTCGACATCTCCAAAGCTCAAAATGCTCTGTTCCACCTCGTGATGTCATGAAGTGGTAGTTTTGATGAGTATTTAACCTTTTGTTTAGTAAAGATTGGCAGTTCCAGGGCTGAAATTATCCAAATGATTCTAGTGAAAGTGTGTGGAGTTTAAAAACACAGTGAAGCATTTCCTGTATTACCACACGACATCACAACGTGGAGTGTTTTCTGTTTGAGAGAAGAAACTTACCCTAAATATGCAGGGCTTGTGTGTTAAACAAAAAACACAACTCCAGGTCTGTTTGTGATGAGAAAACAATATTAAAGCAGATCAGAAAATAACATAACATGGGCCTTTTTAAAAATGTGAGCCCATTTCCTGTTTACTGCCCCTGTACCAGCGCAGTGTTGGTGCCGTTCTCTTGGGGGGGGTTGGAGGTTGTGTTGTTGTTTGACGAAACTGGATTGGGAACACAGTGTATCCTTTGAAATGATGAGGACAAGTGTTTTTGATTCTCCTGGTTTGCCTTTAGGGGGCAGCAGAGGGGGTGACGGCCACATTGCACCCACACGTTACAAAAACTGGGAACACTGTTAAACTTTGTGAGCTTCTTGACTTGTTTTTCCATTTCCAATTTTCCCAGAGCATTTGAAGGCATCTCTGTGATTGTGTACATTGGACCAGAGGATGTGGTAGGGTTGTTGTCATTGCAAGGTGTTTTTTGATCAGAATTATACCCAAAATTGTAGAAATAAGGAAGAGGTTCACTGCTGCAGCTAAGTGAGCGCATTGGCCTCTGCGGTTTGGTCCAGGTTTTGTCCAGCCACAGCTCAACAGGGGAGCTAGCTAAAGGAGTTGAACCATCATCTTGAGGGATTTCAGATTCAGAGCTGTAAAATGGATTTTCCATCTCATCCTCTCTGGACTGGGATTCAGACAGAAGAACGGCAGCCATTTTGGAGATTATACCCCAGTCGCGGTGGATGTCTTCTTCTGTAGTCAGCTGGGAGGTAACTGTGAATCGGATTATGCGTTTTGGGCCGACTTCAGCTGGGATCAGGTACATGGTGCCAGAGCGGGTAAGGCGACTCAAGAGCTCCTGGGTCAAAGCATTCCCCCTCTGGAAAAATAAACAAATAATTAAAACAAATAATTATTAAATCACACTTTTTTACACCACACTTGGTAGGAATCACATAGTTTTTTTTATTTTGTCAACCAAAAATGTCTAGCCGTATTAATAGCAAGTAACATCTTAGATTGTATATATAAATGGACATAGTTAACCCGCTAGACCAGCTGTCTCCAACCTTTTTTCTCTGGTTGATGTAAGAAAGAGGGCAAGCCTTAAATAGGGTATTAGATTAGATTAGGATGACCAGATTTCCAAAATTCTAAACTGGGACACATCCGGCTTGGGATGTTTGGTACAAATAAAATTGTGAAAAGAGCGTGTAACATTTCACATTCTCATGTCAGTCATAATCTGAGGGACTTCTGTCTTTGAATTTTTTTGCTTTGTTATCATTAGCAAACACGGTTTCTGTATTTTGGCTAAACAAATGATAGTTTATGCTCCTCTTTACTGTTGGAGAGGATCAGATTAGTCAAAAATTGTGATAGTCCTGTTTTATTCCTGGTTTAGACCTGTTGTAGTCCTGGTTTAGTCTTAGTTTAGTCCTAGTTTAGTCATAGTTTAGACCTGGTTTAGATCGAATTGGTCAAAAATCGGGACACCTGGCACATTTCTTCTATAAAATTGGGACAAATCATTGGTTTTGTAGAAAGCTGGGGCAGGGGACACAAGACTCAAACTGGGACTGTTCCGGGTAAATAGGGAGGTCCGGCCACCCTAAGTTAGATGCGTATAAAACATAAACCATTACCTATTTATTAGTGCACAAAGTTATGTTAGGTTAGGTAATGGCAGACACATATAATTCAGAAATCTCTTGACGAGCTACTTGAAAGAGGGTGGAGAGCTACTGGTAACTCCCAAGCTACAGTTCGGAGAGCCCTGTGCTAGATGCTCATGATCCTGTGGTTTTTATCTCACTATTTTGTCTGTAAATAAATTCCTTTTCCTAATATGGAACTCCTAATTCCCTCCTAAATGCAGCTGCGGTGAGCTTCATTTGACTGGAGCCAAATGCAATGGGTGACTTCACACACCTTTACTCCACTTCATTTAATCATTGCCACTATATTTTTTATTGTGACAGGCCTATCCAGAGGAGGAGTTTTACATAGTAAATGTAGTCTATGAATGCCCATAAGACTTTGCTCCTTTCATGAAACTCTTACCACACATTCTGTTTCTCACCTTTGGCTCTATATGTAATACTTACGAATGATTTACAAAAGATACTTACTTTTAGGCAAAACACCACCAGCCCGAGGTGTCTCTGTGCAGGGATCTCAAAGTTTGGGTCTTTCCTAATTAGACTTTCCAGAAGCTGTGCCATCTCGACGCCCTACAAATACAAAACAATTATTGATACAAAGATGGACATATCTTATTTACAGTGACTAGAAGTACTAGTACTCATAATATGTCTTATCTAAAGGACTTATAATGCATGAAGTTGACTCTTGTGTGCTTTAAGTTATATAAAAATGTTGTTACCTCATCAAAATGAATGAAATAAAACAAACTCCAGGGATGCTTTTGATGGGGAAACAACATCATAACAAAATAGTGTAATATGGGCCTTTTAATGATTGTCATGCTAAAACTATTGTACAAAAACAGAATGGTTCTTACATGGCGGACGTGAGCCTGGAGGTTTTTCAATCCAAAAGAGCGCATGACAAACCAGAGTTTTAAGGAACGGAAACGCCGGCTGAGAGGAATTTGCCAGTGCTGAAAGAAAAAAAAAAAGTTTGATCAATACAAACATGCATGGTCCTGTTTAGGAGTTTGATTTTCAACAAAAAGGTGACAGTGAGTAACTGAAAAACTTTTGGCTGATGCTTCTAAATTATGACTGTAATTTTATGTGTGAGCAGGCCAGTTGATAGAAATTTGGAGGCCCAGGGCAAGAAGACTCACATGGGGACCCCTCTAAGATTGATTAAAAGGAAGCGGGTCTAATTCTGGGCCCCTAAAACCCTTATGCCCAGAACAACAGACCCACTTGCCCCCCTGTATACTACCCTGTGTGTGAGAGACTTGTTAAACCGCACAAATCAGATGACCTGTTGTAGTTTCAGTTATGTCTGCTCAGATTGCGTCAAAAAAAGGGAAGCTCAGATTGAGTCTATCTTGAGTAACAGAGCTTCTGAGAGAGTAGTGCTTTCAGTTAGCTTCACACCCACAGGGGATGATAATAGAAGTGAGAAAAGCATCTTGTACCATGAAGTCTGTGGCCGCCTGGGAGTTTTCATGTCTGAGATAAACAGGATCCACACTGAATGTCTGCTGCAGTTTGAACTTGTCCTTCACCCTAAAACAGCAAATCAATAATGTCAACTAAATACAATTCTACAGTCATATTAACAATACAATACTCATATCCAAATGTACTTTTAGGAGATCTTTTTTAGATAATATTATACTTTTTCAACACAAAATAACATTGTTTATTATACCCTGCCAATCTTATTAGTTCTGAATCAACTCAAAATGAAATGGAAATGTCAGATTTTACCCAGTTAATCTTTTTTTTTTCTTCAGTATCAATACTTACTTAAATGAGAAATAGTAGTTTAAATACTAGTTTCAGTAGTTTAGTATCTGATTTCTGCTACTTTTGACAATCATACATTTTATACGTGGCTTTATTCACCTCATTAAGCCCCACCCACTTTTGTCTCCTAAATGCTTCTAAATCATGCTTTCGTGTGGTGGCACTTCCTGTTAAATGGGAATCCCATTCAATTCAGTGGAGAATTTTGCATCTTAAATATAACAAAGTCAGTTCATTTGTGTAAAATGTTTGCACTGATTCTCTGGGAGGCTTTAAAATGGCTTCATAGTCCGCATTGAGCTTATTTGCTGTTAGGATCGGCAGCCCCATGTAAAATAATACAACCTGGCACTGTCTGATTTCTCTTTCCTCGCTTTATTTACCTTGATTCCTCTCCCCGATCCTCCATTTATCAGCTGTCAATCAAATGTGTCATATTAAGTGGTATCTTAAAGAAAACCACTGAAGGACTAAACCGGAGGGAGGCTTCAGGAGGCAGACATGAAATAAAATAATCAATCTTTATTGGTCTCAGTGAGGAGTTTATGTTCTCTCTCCTCATTTTGTCTCCTCTGTGGGTGGGACTTTCTCACCCTTTTCCTGCAGAATCGAGGAATCAAGGAGAAAGAAATGAGTAAAGAGAAATGAGTCCCTGAATGATGATGGCGGCTCCTGTGGCAACTTCAGGAGTAAGGTGACTTAAGCTCTAGATCAAGTGCCAAAACCTCCACAGAGACGCATTAGTCAAAACTAGACTTCTTAAAATCTCTGACCAAAATGCAGTGCAGTCGAAGTGCACCATCATCCACTTGGAGGGGTTAAAGACGAAAGAGTCAGCATAGTCCATCCCGTCCAGAGACCAGCGCAGCTCAGGGCAAAAGTAGGCGGTGCCAGCGTACGCCGCATCCACGTGAAGCCACAGATCCTCTGCAGCACCTGGAGTTTGAGTTCAGAAGTAAAGCATGTTATAAAGCACCCCTTAGTGATACTCTGTTGTAATTCCAACTCAGTCAGTTCTTTCTGGTCAGATTGTATTAAACGTTTAGACATTTAAATAATTACGCACAGATTGGTCCAAGCTCTGAGAGGTTGTCAAAGGCACAGACTCCAGTTGTTCCTAGAGTGGCACATACCTACAGAGAGGAGAAACACTGTACAATCATGCACTATTAAGCATATTAAGTCTTCACTTTAAAATGGACACATAGACAATTCTTCAAGTAAGTATCTGTGTAAGTACAGGGGTGTCGGAAAACAGATCCATTTGTCATTTTGTAAACACTTCATAAACACACTCTGCTTCATAAACTGTATAGTGGACATCTCCCATAACATTCGGCTCCAGTCAAGTTCACGAGGCTAGGGGGGAATAAGGGAGAAATAAATAAAAACACCAGGATCATGTAGAGCGGGTTAATACGAGCATTTTAAGACCAAAATGACGAAGCTCACTGCAGCAGTTACAGAGAGAAGAGTGCACATTTTTTCAATGTAAAGCCAATTGGAAACCAAGTCGATGGAGCCAGGAGTGCCCCCATTCTCACTTTCTTTTTGGAACGCGGTGGCTAGCGAGTTAGTTATGTCCATTTCTACATATAGTCCCTGCTCTGAGAGAAGGAGGGTTTGTACCATGAATGGGACCAGTCCGATCCTCCTGTCCTCCTCGATGGCCTGCAAGGTCTCTCCTCTAAGAGACTGCTGATCGTCGCTCGGAAGAAAACGGATTTTCACCAAAGAAATGAGCCCTGCTTTTTCCACAGAGGAGTGAGCCTAAACACAAGCCATTCATATGTTTTTAGGAAGAAATTCAATAAAAAAATGCATTTGTAATTATGTATTATTATAATAAATAATTCATTATAGTAAAAGGAATTGTTATGTCTACCCAAACAAGGAGGATATAATGCAAAATCAACTTAAGCAGAGCAGATGTATTTTAAAAATCAAGAGCTGCTTATACAATATATCTGTACTGGGGCAGGACAGGTTTTGCTCTGATACATGGAAGAAATTGGGCACAGGAACTTTAAGGTCTGACCTGGTCTGAAGTGTAGGCCACCAGTCGTGAGTTGAGGATGGAGTCCTCTATGTCCTGGTCTAGTTCTCGGAGCTGCAGGATTTTGTGTTTCCTCGCCGACAAAAGAGCCACTAAAGTGCTCTCACTCACTGTGGACTAAAGGGCACGGAGTCAGTATAAGCTCTATCTATAGTTAAAGGTCCTGTAGTACACAAAATTGCTACACAAAATTGCTTTAAGCTATAAGCCATTTTTAATGCCATTACCTAATCAAAAGCATACCTGGAGTTGTGTTTTGTTTTCTATTAACATGTTAGAGTGACCCTTTGATGTCATGTTATGGTAGTTTTCATGTTAACCTTTTACTACCTTTTACTTTTGGCCAAATAGAGATTGGCAATTCCAAGGCTGCAATCATCCAAATGATTCTATTGAAAGTGTATGGAATTTAAAAACACAATGGAGAACTTCCTGTATTGTCACATGATATCCTAAGATAGAATAGAGTGTTTTGCGTTTGAGAGAAGAGCTCCGCCTAAATATGTAGGGTTTGTGTCTTAAACATGTGAATGAAACAAAACAAAATACAACTCAATTCACAAAACAAAACAATTCCTTCCTCCACAGTCTGATCTCTGCTTCAAACCACATGCTTTTACTGACAGAGGTTTAAGTAACTAAGCAGCAGTTGTAGTAGTAGTTGGAAGTAAATAAGTTAGTAGAATAATAGAAGCCTAAGTAGTAGAAGTATGTGAAGTAGTAGCTGTAGCTGTAGTTGAACCTGCAGTATGCCTCCTCCACTGCTGTCTGGATGATGATGGAGGAAGAAGGAGGGCAGACCCAGAGCTTTACACAGCCAGTCCATCACATGAATCTCCAGTTCTGTACAGGCTGGACTCGAGGCCTGGAAATAACATAGAACACATTACATTTACAGTAATACTACTAGAATCAGAACTACTTTGTGCTTCTACTTGAATATCTTGAAGTAACATTGCCCTTAGTAAAAATGTTCACTACTCTACCACCTCTGTGCAAGTATTAAATTTTCAAAGTATTCTTAACATCTAATATCAAAAGAACCATAGATATTCATGCATGTGCTCACCCAGGTGAAGCCGAGACAGTTAATGGCATCTGCTAACATGTCCCCGAGCAGAGAAGGCCAAGAGGTGAGACAGGGGAAGTATGCGTGCATATGAGGACTCTGCCAATGAACCACCTAAAAGAAGGGAGATGGATACTTTACCCAAAGGAAATTCATTTTTTGGCAACAACAATGAAACATAATAGTAATATTACAGTAGTAATTTCATACTTTAAAGTGATGCATTGTATAGACATATGGCATGATACACAAAATAATCAAACAACTTTTGCCAACTTTTGAATTAGGTACATTTACTTTATATATTTTTTATTAGCAGTATATACTTTTAGTCCTACTTGACTAATATTTGTACTGAAGTGACAGTACTTTGTTACTAGGGTAAAAGTTTTCGTTCCCACTGTGCGTTAATAGCAGTCAAACTAAAACTGAACATATGTAGAACTTGTGTATTATTTTGTGTTTTTAGCATTAACTTCTTGACAACCTTTACAGGGTTCCTCTTTCACTGACAACATTTCAGCAGTTTTTCATGACTTGGCACCTACATGTGTATGGAGCATACCTTTAGGGCTAAATATTAAATGTTAACTTACCTTATGGTTTGGTATTACAGTTTTTTAACATTCAAAATACTGTCAATGCATTTATTGTCCTCTCTTTTAAACAAGACTTAGAGGTTCAGAAATAATCATAATAGCCTAATGATTACTTAACAGAGCGCTGTACTTGAGTGAAAAAGATACTAAAATTCCAGGATTCCCTGCTTTTAATAATATAGTTGGTAGTTTGTAGACCAAAACACTAACAAACAAACATCATGTATTTTAAAGGTACACTGTGTAACTTTTCAGTACTACCTGCTTGTTTCCATAGGGAGGATATTGCTTTGCTTTGGGATGCTACAGAGCATGGCATTAAACTTGTGTATCTTGCATTCAATCAGTCAATCACAGTTGTTTCTATTGCTCAAGAACACGATGCAAAACATGCAATCTTACTACTTGAACTGTGACTTTGTCAGTATATACAGTATCTCTACTTTTAGTTTGCAGTTAGGTCTTCTGGATGTCCTTAAAATGTAAACTTTGAAGAGAATCCTATTTTCCACAAATTGTACAGCCCTACCTACACTGTAAAAAAAAATCCATCGTTTTTACAGGAAAACGCTGGCCGCTGGGGTTACCAGAGCTTTCCTGTTAAAAATACAGTAATACAGTTAATAACTTTACAGAAAACAATGTAAATCAGTTTACGTTTTTTGAAATCACGGTTGAATCACATTTAAAATCAGTGAAATCTACACAAAAAAGTTGTTTTAATTTTGCATAACCGTGTTGTAAATAGACACCTTCCTGTATTTTTAACATGAAAAAAATGCTTATTATACATCCTTTCCTGTATTTTCTACATAAGAAATGTTTTTTGTGCACTGATTTCTTATCAAATTAACAGGGAAATATTTCACAAAAAAAACAGTTTAAGCTGGCAAAACGACAGTAAAAGTTTATATTTTAAATTAAGCTTTTCTGTAAATTTTACATAAAATCTACTCATAAACGCAGTATTTTTATGTTTAAATAATACAGTTGAACTGTAAAAATTACCTGTTAAACCTGCAAGATCATAAATTCTACTGCTACTACTGTAATCATTACCAAAACATGCAATAATACATGACAAGAAAAATATCACTTAAAACATTTATTTAACAGTCTCAATATAGTAACAAGTTGTAAACAATTAGATTTTTTTCAGCATATAGAACAAAAATTGCATTCAAAGGAACCACTGAATCGAAGTTCGAAGATAGCCTCATTATTGCAGAATTTTTTTCAGTTACTCAAACAATGCATTCTCATGGTGTTGTTTTAACAATATCAAGCATGTGACTGATTTTCAGCTGAACTAAATTAACACTCATTGATCTATTGAATGAGTCATTTTACAGTATTGGGCTTTCCCTTAAAACAAGTTTCAAGTGCCAGGCACACAACAACCAAATTAAAATTGTGTTTACTTGCTAAAACATAACTCTTAAAATGACTTTAAAATTAACATTTACAACCCTCATGCTCTCCTGGGGGTCACATTGTCCCGAAGAATTGTTTTTTTTTCCTTCCCGCTCTCTTGGGGCGGGTCTATCAAACCCAAAAATTTATTTTCAAATAAATTCTCGCCAGGCGAGAAAATACATTTTTGGGTTTGACTGACCCGCACCAAGAGAGAGGAAAGGAAAACCGTTTTTTTCCCTTCAGGTCAATGTGACCCCGAGGAGAGCATGATGGTTAAATCAATGACATATTATGCTTTAATTAACATAAATCACACTGTAGATTTAACAAGGCAAAAACTTCCGGTACCTCTTCTCAAATGAACACAGAGTCCAAAGAGATTCCAAAGACTCCATCAGACAGTTCATGTTTATCCTTCCCGCCACTCCTGATCAGAGAGTTCTTGTATCAGGGTGAGGACTCGAGGGTTTACACTGAGACGACGCTTTGAGTTTTTACTCTCCACTTTGGTTCCTTTTTCCAGGTTTATCAAGAAAAAACACTACAAAATAAAATATTGCATATTAAACATTTTTATTTATCAGAATAAAATAAATAAACTACAAAATATATTTTCGAATAAAATGAATGTTTAAAACACAAATCTGTCATTTTAGGTCCCAGAGTAGCAGTCCCAGCCCAGGACTGAAGTCAGACCCAGAGTAAAGTCTGGGTCTGAGTCCAGGTATCAATCTCAGTATTAAGAAATGTGTAAGCCATATTTACTCACCTTTGAAGAAACTCAAGAGTTGAAGCCAGCTCAGATGGATAATGGATGTTAAAACAATAGTAGCTCCCAAACATCAGGCACAATGCAGAAATGAAGGAGATGATGTTTGTGTTGATAAGGTTCTGATCCAGACTCAGCATGTACCTCGTTGAAGAAAAACATGATGTTCCTATGAATACAATATTAAACAGGGTATTTTAATAAACACCACACACATGACAAATTCTATAAACTGCAATTACAAGATATGAAACAGACTTACCACAGACAATAACAGCTGGTGTCACAGGCACTTGCTCCAGTTGGACCTCTTCTGCCAGACATGTATCTTCTACATAGAAGAACAAGGACTCCTCCTTCTCATCAAAGTACCTGAGCAGAAGCAGGACCATCTCTTTCACATCATCTGAGCAGCCACTCTGCTGTCCTCGCATCCTCTGAAGCCGAGCATAAGTCTGAAGGAACTTCTTACTCTTGTTGACACAAACTGTTGTCATGTAGTTGAGAAGCCTTTTCCCCTTCAAATCCAAATTTCGAGTGAATGTCTCTTTAAGGTCAATCCCAGTGAGTTCCTTGAAGTGGACAGACATACCAAGTTCATCAAACAAAAATGGCCACTCCTCTCTGAGGTATTTTTCCCTGGTTGACTTGTTGGCGCTGTGTGTAAAAAGTGGACTTCATTAGATTTTTGATCTCTTCCAGATTGGCCTCAGATGAATGTTGGTACATTGCTTTGAGTTTTTTCCATCTTTTGCTGCTGGCTCTCTTGAGTTTCTCCAATGGGCAGAAATTTGACATTCCACTTAATGCACCCATAAATGTCCTGCATTTCAGCTCTCTCTTCTAAAGGGATCTCATCTGTGTGATCCGAGTCATCGGTCTCATGTCTTCTTTTTCTTATTTTAGGTGTTGAATCGCGCCTCACATTTTCAATTCTGTTTTGTAACTGTTTAACAAGGGAATGGTAGCCTGCCCCAACAATATCCCCGTCTATAACATCTTGTAGAGATTTTGGATATTTTGCTACCATTTTTTTGCAACATCAGTTGAATGCTTTTTACCTACATGAGGGTATTTTTCTAACATCTCAGTCACAACTATCCGGACCATCTGTCTCCTCAGTTTTGAGCCTGGCCTTTTTCCCCTCTCCAAAGACTGCATCACTTCCTCAGGAAATTTACTCCATGGAATTTCAAAACTGTTCTCCCACTGTGTATCGAGTCCTGGGCTGCTACTACTGGAGGAGGTTGAAGATGAACTTCGGGGAGAAACTGATAGATAGATGACAGTGAGCTGGGCTCAGGAGTCTGGTCTTAAAATAACAGAAAAAAGGTGATGAGTTACACTGTGCATACCATGTTTTGAACAGATGACAAATCCATACATTAAAAGACTGTTTGTGTACCATCTTTACTTACATTTCTGTTTCTAAACAGAAAGAAGTTTTCTGGCTTGTATAGGTCTTAATGCAGTCATTAAATCAGCCTCCTGTATGAAATGTAGATCATCATACATCTCAACTCCAATGGATTGCAAGTGTTCTTGGAGGATGTTTTTGGTTGCCGGTGGAAGGTCTGGTAGTACTTCCATGATGGCATCATCTAAGAACATTCGCTCTGTGTCACTCATATTTGCACTAAAAAGAAAACAATAAAATAAAATACAGTAAATAAACTTAAATCAGATAACATTTGTGAACTATTTACAGTGTGAGAAGTATAGCATTAGCTTCAACTTTATTTTTCCACAATACTGTGCTTCAGAGGAATGACTTTGTTTCCATTAAGAATGTATGACACCAAAGGATAGAAATCAAGCAGGTCATTAATGTTCATACACTGTAACCCAAGACTGTTCTTTATCACAGAATACAGATGGTATTCTGACAGGAAGATGCCTTGGTGGATATCCATCAAAACATACACAGCCAAGTCATTTTGAATCAAGAAGAGAAGAAGTTCACCAAATTCCACATACTCATCATTCGGTACACAACAAACTGCCCCTTCTTATATGTAGTGCCCTTGTACTGAATGTCTGTGGAGACTGTGGTATTGCTTTCTGAAAAGGCAAACTCCTGGACAGCACATTTAATAGTGTCACTATAAAGGTTGGAGTAAAATGCACAGCTGTCCTTCACTTGCAGTAGTTTAATGCATTCTTGTCCTGCTAAAACATATCCCTGATACATCTGATGACGCTCTGCTAAAGTTTGACAAATGTTTTTTAAGTGTTTGGCACATCTTTTAAAATAACCATGTTTACTTTCAAACCTAAGTGTCCATAACCTTATCAGAGGACCAAATTTCAACAACAGTGCTGAATAACGGCGTAAAAAGTGGTGCTTCGGTTTGAGTTTGATTTCAGGAAACAACATCTTCCTCAACTCCAAATACTCTTGGACCAAAATATCAAGATATGCTATCTGGGACAAGGAAATGTTCTGAGCACAAATAAGATCCACAATGTCTTTTAACTGGAGAGCTAACTGCCACACTTCATCTTCATGGTTTTGCACTTTGTCGCCAATTAAAACTGGCAGCAATCTCAAGAAGTTCCAGTTTTGAATGGCTTGCCCGGATAACCTGGCTCCCTCACAGTTGACAGCACATGGCTTTGTGAGTGCTTCTGATCCTTTGTATTTAAACTGTTTAATGCGCCTGTTTAAGAGTGAGTATGTGAACCATTTTTTTCTTTTTATGATGTTCTTCAGGTACAGTGCTAGATCATATGGTAAAACTCCCTCAAAGAGGTCATGACCTAAACAAGGCGGCAGACCAGGCTGAGACACATGGAAAGACTCAAGGCTGTTAAAGACAGAGTTTACCTTTATTCCGCGGACGTCTTCAGTGTTATTAGTCTGAAGTTCAGTAACAGCCGCGTTATATGTCTCAGGAGTGCGTGGAGGTCCACAGGCATTCGGATCAGCCTCAAACTCACTTCTTGTGATTTCATAGTACCTGCAAAAATATCGAGAGCGGCTGAAGTTCTCTGTAAACCCGCCTATGCTATGAGAACCAAGGTTATCCCCAGAAATGCAGTACAGACCCCCTTTTACTGTTTCACCATCTACATTTATTCCAACTGTCTCTAAGGATTTTAGATCTGCTAACAATTCTGAAAAAATTTTGGCTACTCCAAAACGCTTGAGGTCATTTTCAATGCACAACAGGACCAAAAACATATTATCAGTATTTGAGCGCAAATGGATGGGTATATTTGCTACTGACAGATAGACAGCAAGAACCTTATGTGTCTTTTTAGCATAACCCAGGGGGTTCACAATTTCAAATGAATCTTGGGACAAAATCAGTTTGAGGCTCTCAGGGTTTTCGTTAAAGAACTGGTGACATCTGAAATTTTGTCCATTATATAAATCAGTAAAAACCCCTGCTTCAGGATCTCTTAACTTTTGGGACTGCGCAGCCCTCCATAAATGTAACTGCGAAAAGCTCTTCAGAGTTTCTGGTATGTAGTAAGCACACTTTTCAGTCATGTTTTTATCCATACCTAATGCCACCTTTTGAGGTTCTGTGTATTTAAACAGTTTTGTGAAGGTTTGATTTCTGGAGTATGTTGTCCTTAACGGCCCTGATGACAGGAAGAAAACAAATCTGACTCTTTAATGCAGTCACAGACTTTAGTGACGGCTTCATCTGATAGGTTTGCATCAGTTTTTAATACAGAACTTACTTTAGTTATTGTGTAAGCTTGGCCTAACTCGTGAACATTTAGCATTTCCTCAACAATAGTCTGTATAGTAGAGGCAGGAATCAGCAGCTGTCCTTGCAGTTTAAGGTAAAAGAGACACATGTTTCTGAGCTAGAACTCGCTATCCGTCTCTGGCATATCAACAGGTGCATTAGTTGTGGACATGGCCTCCTGTGTGTTTTCTGAATCACCTGTACAAACAATAACACGTGTGGTGAGTGGTTGAGTTTCTCTGTACATATCATTAATAGCATCAGGAGAGCATGCTTTATGCTTCCTACACATGTGAGAAGTAAATGATGACTTTTTGGTAAACACGTGCTTACAACCAGTGACTGGGCATGCCACAGACCTGCCCTCTTCTATATGGTCATTTAAATGAGCCACAAGCTCCTTCACTCTATGAAAATAGTGTGAACACAACGAAACTGCACATTTCAAATCTGAAACAACGGTCTTCGGAGCAGCACATGGAGCAGGTGCAGAGTGCACACGATAAAAATGCCCCTTAAAAGCCGAGTAAGTGGTAAACGTCTGACTACAATTGGCGCCAACACATTTGAAAAGACAATGAGGCTCGTTCCTATGCACTCTGCAATGTAATACATAGCCTCTTAATGTTTCCAATTGTTTTTTACAGAAAATGCAGGTGATCATCTTTAAAATCTCAAGCCTATCTCATTGATTTTAAAATGTGCTAATCACGCACTGACTTACTGATCGCAAATATGGACTGGCGCTAGCTTACACTATGTGCTACTCATTTTCCGTTTTATCAGTAAAAAGTAAATGTGAAGCTTACCGTGCAAACTTTAAATGTTTGAATCGACATCCACAGATCCGAAATGAGTATAATACCATAGAATGGTCCTAACTCGAAAAAGTATCCAAAGACGTCTCTGCTCTGCTCCGGAGTTGTGCGAGGTTCAGACGGCGCAGCGCGCTCTCGCTCTCGCTCGTTAGTGACGTCAGCCTCAGCCGTGAACGTGGAGCGCGTGCTTTTCCCGCTTTTCCCGCCCCCTCGCTATTATCCAATCAGAAACGACCATCAGGTGCCACGATCTCGTCATTATCCAATCAGAGACGAACCTCAGCTGCGCACTTTGAAATTTCAAATTAGGCGGACAGACAGTTCAGGTACAAGTCTGTGGTTATAGGGGAGGCAGGTTAAGTTTAGCCTATGATAACACAATGCTCAAATTATTAGTACCATTTATCAATATACCAAAATATATTACAATATAACAAAAAAAACAAACAAAAAAAACAAACAAAACAAAACACCTTTTTAGAGGGATGTTTAACCTGCTCAAAATATGATCAATATCCACAATTTCAATTTCTCTATAAACTATTTTAATCTTTATATAGCCTCCAGAGTAGGTTGCAAATAAATTATAAAAACTATGTTATTATAAATTAATATTTGTATATAAAACTACATACAATACAGGCAATCTCACAGATCCGCAGTGCCATATTATACAGAACAAAATCTTGTGAAAAAATTTTTATTAACTCAATTGGCATTGTTCTGTTAATCATGCTACAAGTACAGCATAAGGTTGTAAAGTAAATTACTGATTTTTATTTATTTTTTTCCTGTATTTTCAAATAGAAAATGTCAAAAATCATAGTTTTTACAATATTTGAATATCTTATTAACAAAAATATGTAGTTGTGAGTATTACAGTGTTTCTGTGTTTTTGTTACTGTAATTGGTCCTTTTTACAAATACATTTGATTATTATCACATATTATTATTGTAAATATAACATTAATATTTTGTATAAAAGTACAGCATAAAGTTGTAAAGGGAGTTACACATATGTTTTGTATTTTTTTTTTAAACTGCCAAAAGTACTATTTTTTACACTATTTGAATGTCTAATTAACAAAAATGTTTTGTTATAAGTATTACAGCATTTCTATGTTTTTATTACAGCAAATGGTAATTTTAACAAATAAATGTGATTATAATCACACATTATTTTTGTAAATACAACATTAACCTCTGTTTTTTAATTCACAATGGTTTCCTGTAATTCATACAAAAATCATATGTCTTTCATTTTACCGTGCATTTCTGTAGGCATTTTACAGAGTTACTGTGTAAATTTCACAGCCATTTTTTACAGTGTAGAGTTAGTAGAAAAGTATCTATCTTCCTAGAGACTGGAAAGTGATAGTCCTATGTCAAGTTACACGTCAGACGTGTACAAGGGTGAACCTGGTCATAGTAAGAATGCGTGCATGTAGTTAAGTAAAGTTGCATATTGCCCCTTTGATGGTCCTATATTACACAAAACAGATTCTTTTGAGCTTTAAGCCATGTTATAATGTTGCTACTTAATCAAAAACATACGTGGAGTTTTGTTTTGTTTAATTCACACGTTTGAGCAATCCTTTATTATTAGTCTGTCTGTATCTCCAAAGCTCAAAATGCTCTTTTCCACCTTGTGATGTAGTGTATGGAGTTTAAAAACACAGTGGAGCACTTCCTGTATTACCACATGATTTCACATGAGTGTTTTTCATTTGAGAGTTGAACTAAATGTGCAGGGTTTGTGTGTGAAACGTGTAACTGAAAGAAAGCCCAACTCCAGGTCTGTTTGTAATGAGGAAACAACATTTCAACATACAGCATAATATGGGCCCTTTAAGTAAATAAACTGTGAAAAGGATTCATTTAGGTCTTAGCATGGTCTTACCCCAGGCATGATGATCTTCTCGATGTCGTTGAAGATGTCGTCCCATTCCTCAGGCTCAAAGGGGGCAGAGTCCGGCATCAGCTCCTTCATGTACCCAGGCTTCACATCAGGAATCACCCTCCGCTCACGAATAGAGCTCAGATACTGGGTAATGTAGTCCACCAGCTCCTTACCTAAATAAAACACACTTTATAACCCTACAGACCAGGGATGGGACAATAACATTAATATCATGATAAAAAGAGTAGACAAAGAGTGTGGGACTTTTATATAATTGTGATAATCAACAAAAAAGATCATCGCCATAGATGACTAGACTTTAAACTTTATTGATCCACAAGGGAAATTACTTGGACACAGTGGCTCAAACATCACAATATATTATAATAACAAAGAGTAAAACATATAAATGGTAATAATAAATTCTAAATAAGTTGCAAAAAAGACAGCAAGAGACAGGTGTGAAATAAGACATAATTATATAATGTATATACAAGTAAAAATAAAAGAGAAAATAAGTAATAAAAATGTCTCAGCTTTATACAAAAGGTTGTAAGGAAAACAGTGCAAAGATGATATGAGGATTGACAGGACACAGGATTATCTGTTACACAAGGGTGAGTTATTTCACAAGAATATGCAGAAAAGTTACTTATCCATTATGTTTTCTTCTCCATTGTTGTTTTCTCTCATAACTGTCAGTAATTTTGTAATAATTTCATAATCATTTTGTAATTATTCTGGCCGTGATAATCGTGACACCAAATTTCAATATCGTCCCATGTGGACTACAGACTAGACTGGTGTTTAAAGTGGAAAAAAAACCCACCTAAACTCTGCTTACCACCACATTTCAGATCAGTGTTGTTCAGATAGAGCTGCTAGATTGGGCAGTGCCTGGATGACTAAAGAAAGGAGTGAGGAGAGAGGAGGAGGGGTGGGGTCTGGTGCTATAAGGAACAGTTTGTCTAACACAGGGGTCTCCAATCTTTTTCCTCTGGGGAGCTTAATAAAACGTAAATGCTAGAGAGCTACTCGTTTTAGCAGCCGCAAGAAACTGAGAAAGAGCCATGGTAAGCTTCTAACAAGGTGCAGTTAGATGACTATTAAACATAAACCATTATCCATTTATTAGTGCACAAGTTAGGCATCAAACATATACATTTACAGTGGTAATTAATCAGATTTTAATTAAGTGCAATACATATAATTCAGAAATCCCTTGGTGAATTACTTGGAATGGGGTGGAGAGCAACTGGTAACTCCCGAGCTACAGGTTGGAGGTCCCTCAAACTCCTGGATTTAATCAGGGCAGTCATGCAGTGATGTCACATAGTACTTGAAATTGCACACACACACGCGCACATGCACACGCACACACGCACACACACACACACACACACGCACACACACACACACACACACACACACACACGCACACACACACACACACACACACACACACACACACAGTTTTTGTTAAGAAAGCTGCAAATTTACCTAGTTACTTGCACTAAAATTGTGTAAAGGGACTATGCAATACTATAGAGAGTTTACAGTTTACTAGCAAAAAATCTTAATGATTTTATGTTGAGTTCCACTTCATGTTCATCGAAATGTGAATTTGAGTTGGCACAATTATTCAAAGGCTGCATTTAAAAAATTATACTTTTATTGAATACCTGTGCACTTGTAGTTTAAACATCTACCTCATCTAAAATGTGTGGATGTGGATTTCTGTCTTCTCTCAAATGTCGATGCTACTGAAGTTGTTTATATTGACCACTGTGAACAGAATCCTAAAATTACACATGTATCTGATCACAATCACAATACTTATCTGAAAAATTGCCATTACATTTGAGCCTATTTCTCCAGTGCCCGGTTTGGAACTCTTGGTTTAGTCCTAGTTGATTTACTGTTGACAGTATAATCAATCATTTATCTTTGTTTTTTATAGGTTTTGGTGCGCACAACCAAATTATAATCATAAAATGTGAAAGGCTTTTTAAACTTTGCCTCCTGCTCGAATAACTCTGTTTGTGGTGCCAAATTATGGAACAACATGAGAGTAGAACTGAAAACACTGTCCACACATACATGCGTACAAAAATAAATAATAAATGTTTTTTTGTTTTTTTCACACTAAAATTGAGCCTAAACTTGGACCAAATTCAGAAGAACAGAACTAAACCAGGACTACCATACTAAACTGGGCTCAAATTCTCTCTTCTCTCACACAGACACACAAACCTAAAATTAAACCTGGACCAGACCAAGGCTAAACCAGGACTAAACCAGGACTAAACAAGAATAAGAATCAAGTCTATGTGTGAACTAATAGGACGTGGTCTAAACGTGGTCTAAATGCAGTCTGGTTTAGCTCTAGATTATCCCTGAACGTAAACTGTTACAAACAAACAAAAAAACAACAACAACAAAAACAAAACAACAACAACAACAACAAAAACATATCAATTGATTTCTAATCTCTGTGAAGACAAGAACATTACCAAGCCAGTTCTGTGGAGAGGCAACCGTGCTTACTATTAAAATACATTTTAAATTTAAAACCTTTTAAAATCTTAACCTTACCCAGCAAAACATTAAAGCACAATTTCTTGTCTACAGTTACAATTTCATAAAGAATAAAATAATTGCTTATGATAATACCAGACAGAAACGTAATGCCATATTGCTGAACATCAGGCAAAGCAACACCATCACCATAGAGACAACGCATGGCTATAATTGATTATTATTATGTTTCACTGTTGCTGATGAGAAGATAAATTTCCCTCGGGATAAATGAACTGTCTGTCTTTAAGAAGGTGATGGATGCTCTACCAGAAAAGTTCCACAGTGCGGCTTTAATTGTAATGAATCCTTACCTCTGCGGTTGTACTCCTGTGCCTGCATGTTAGTAGATGCTCGTGAGGGTGTAGTCCAGTGCTTTGAACAGGTGGAAGCAGTGAGCACAATATAAAGACCCCTCCTCATCGTGATGCGCAAACATATCAACGGACCATTGTCTTCTGATTCTGAAATAACCAATGACATTTGCACATTTACCCCTGATATTTATCCACAACTTCCAGTAACTACAGTTTCTTAAGTGATACGAAGGAAATGTGTATTAACTTTGACAAATGCTGTAAGTGATGAATTCAAATGCAGATACTTGTTTTCTGTTGTTTTACGCAAGAGTTTCCCAAAACTCACTGATATTGCAACATGTTTGAGCTCTAATTCTAAAATGGGACTAAATACAGACTTGAAATTTTCACAATTTCTAATTCAAAACATAAATTAAAATACTGAATGTTTTTGACAGTAAAAGATCTCCCCAAATATGTTTTCTCAGACTATCTCATTTTATGTTGTTTTAATTCAGAGGTCAAAAATTGTAACAGTTTAATAGGTATACAAAATGTATGTGTTGCATTGATCCATTAATATCTTTTTTTTTTTTATTGTTTATTAGAAGTATACTTACTTATTATATATTTACTACATTCAGGTTACATGCCACCTCCATAAATTACATATTGCACCTTTAATCGAGAGGTCTATAGATAATGTTCATCACTATGGTTTGAAGCAGAGTGCAGACTTGTGGAAAAATATATACTGAACTATTTTTGTGTTATTTGCAATTATTTTAGTTTTTTAAATTAATATTTAATAATTCAATAACACATTTTCTTTTGTTAATGAAAAAAAGTGAAATTGAAAATCGTGACTGATCAATGTGAGGGAAAAAGGTGATTATTTTTTACCATATTGTTGAGCTATAATATTACAATTAAGAGGAGAGTGAATCTCTACAGACGCACCATTTAAATGGACATACGTTGCTGCATACAGAGCTTATGTTTGAATAAGCAAACCATGTCCTTTTTCGTGAATGACTCAAAGGTCAATATTAGTTTTGGCTGATGACTCAAAATAAACACACATGATAAAGTGGACAGCATTAGAGAATGAATGAATGGATGTACGGACAAGAAGTGTTGTGGACGAATTGGAAAAACCCTTTTAAACTGAGACATTTGAGCAGCTGGACCGGTCACACCCTGATTATTTGCTCTGCTTTATGTAACATTTGCAGCTCTGAATATATCGCATTAAAACCATATCTGAAAAACTCAAATGAGCTGGAGAGCACATTGCCAACATTAATGACTGTAGTATGTTTGTGTAGGACTAATACCTCCATTCAGTACAATCAATAATTTCATACACACAATATTTCTTATCGAGAGTATGCAGTTACTTTATATTAATATTAATAGAAAAAAAACAAAAAAAAACATCTAAAACCAGGCTAAATTGAGCTGAAACCAGTCAGGCTTAATGTCAGTCAGGCTTAATGTCTTCTTTTTAATTTTTTTTTCAGATTTAGTCCTTAATTATTACTTAATTACTAGGGGTGTAACAATATCGAAGTCTCACGATACGATATTGTCACCGTATGAACCTCACGGTACAATATTTATTGCAATATCGTGGGAAAGCTCACAATATGGTGAGGAGGTTCACGATTAGAGATGTAACAATATCCAAATCTCTCTCTACAGTATTTTCAAGATATACATCTCACAGTACGATATTTATTGCGATATTTTGTGGAGGCTAACAAACGTTTTCCTCTTAAAATGGCTTTACAAGGCTTAATCCAAAGAACTAAGACTTAAAAGTGTTTAGAACTGTTATTTCTTCTTCTAGTCTACACTAAAATGGAGCAAAGGATCATGGTCTATGTAGTTCCCTCTGTCTTTTTTTTTTTTTTTTTTTTTGGCTATTGCCGCACCATAACTCTTAATCTAAGCAAAGAGACTAATTCGATATATTGTGAATGGTCCGCGATATTACTGTGAGAAATTTGACGATATATCACGATATTTCGGTTATTGTTACATTCCTATTAATTACTATATCAACATGTTATATTTACCCTTGGTGTAGGCCATATATTTTAACTAACAACTTTAAGTCACGTTATATGCTGTTGTACTGTGGTCCAAAGCAAGAAAAAATATAAAATATAGGCTTTTTTCACCAAAACGATATTTAAAAATTTAAAAAAAAGCTTTTGGACATCGGCCATGTGAGTGTGCTATGCATTATTTCACTTTTATAATGCTGTTGCCTCATCAAAAAGTTGTGTTTTGTTTCATTCACACACTGAGTAACGCTGTTTTATTAGTCTGTCTGCATCTCCAAAGCTCAAAATGCTCTGTTCCACCTTGTGATGTCATGAAGTGGTAGTTTTCAAGTTAACAGCTATACTTTTAATCTTTTTTGAGAGGCAGTTCCAGGGCTGAAATTATCCAAATGATTCTAGTGAAGGTGTATGGACTTTAAAGAGCACTTCTTTTTACCACATGACATCACAGGGTGGAACAGAGTGGTTTCTGTTTGAGAGAAGAATTCAGCCTAAATATGCAGGTTTGTGCTTTAAACATGTGTGAATGAAACAAAACACAAGTCCATGACCACAACATTATAACATTGACTAGAAAATAGTGTAATATGGGCCCTTTAATAACAGTAATCATCACTTATATAGCACTTTTCTGAATATTCCAAAGTGCTTTTTAACAGTGTTATTAAAAACAAAACATTATTACAAAACCCCTAGTGGACAACGCAATACTATAACCATGTGGGACACTGAACTGTTCACACACTGCGAGCAAAAAGGATCAAACGTCAAAACAATGTAGTTTATGCAGGTCATGATTTCTAAACAGAAGTCTTTTGATCCAAGTTAAGTGTTTTCTGTGTTATCTGGACCCAAGCACAGTGAAGCATTGTCCTTCGCCTTACGTATGCCAGTCTGATGAAAGCAGGTTTAACTACAATTGTGCAATTCAAACCAATATGTGATATCAAAGTCAAACAGGTTTATAATACAGGTCTTTCTTTTGCTTGTTGTATTTGAGTCAAACGCCACGTTTCAAAACATATCCTGTCGATGTGAATGAGGAGGAACAACAGTTTCTTGGAGGTGGAATTGTAGTCTGTAACCTTAAACATTGGATTTAATACGACAAGATATTGAAAAATCCTAATCTATGACCATACTGCCTCCTAAAGGGCCTAAATTATACAAAACTGACTCTTCTCTTGTCACCTGGTATTGTGTTTTGTTTCATTCACTACATCTCCAAAGCTCAAAATGTTGTGTTCCACCTTGTGATGTCATGAAATGGTAGTCTTCAAGTTAACAGCTACATTTTACCTTTAGCTCAGTAGAAATGGCCAATTCCAGACCAAGTGAAGCTGTATGGAGTTTAAAAAGAAAGTTTAAAAACACAGTGGAGAACTTCCTGTACAGACAGATTATTTGTTCATTAACACAGTGGATGTGCGTTCAGCTTGAGTGCAGAAAACGCTGCTGTTTGTGCGTTTAACATAAAGTTGTAATGTTAGTCAGCGATGTTGTCAGTGCACTAAAACAGTTTACAGATAAAATAACTACTGTGTGATAATAATTAAAAAACTTATTAAACTAGGTCCATGTTGTGTTTTGTCTCATTCATGCATGTTTTGTCCAGTTAACACAATAAAATTAATCTTTTCCTACTTACTTAATCAATCAAATTCAGGACAAATATTCTACATCCTGATTAGAAACAGCTGAGATTTTAGAGGCAAAGATAAAATACCATCTGAGGAATGAGCAGATTGTACATACTGTAGATGTCATTCTAAGTACTTTTACATGTGATATAATATTTTTAGGAGATTTTAATTTATTATTATTATTTTTTTTAAACATATGTATTTATTTGTTTTACAGACAAGACAAGATTTAGATTTAGGTCTACATGTAACAATTTGATTTGCTAATTAGAAGAAATCACAGAAATAATGTTCAACAATAAGTTTTAGTAGTATTATTGATTGACTGAACTGACTTAGTATTAATGATATAGTATATTAATATTATGATTAAATTTAAACAAACAAACAAAAAAAGGTTACAAATGTACAATAATAAAGTTACAGTTTGGCAGAGTACAAGGTCTTACTATCACAATGAACCTTGTGTTCAGATCACATAAGGTAGATAATTAGCAGAACAACAGATAAGACGGCCTTGGTGCTCTCAAACGTATATGTAGGTGAGTTCAATGCAAAATGAAAATGAATAAATAATATAAAAATATTATTATTCATATTATTATCATTAAAACTGTGCTTTTAAACTGTAATAAGATGTAACATGGGGCGACAGTAGCTCAGTTGGTAAGAACATTTGTTGAACTCATTGAACTGATCTAAAGGTTGGAGGTTTGAATCCTGCTCTCGACACAAACATCACTGGTTGAGCGCTCAGATCCACTGACTCACAGGTTGGCAGTGCGATTTCTGCTCCCACAGGTGAATACTGTCTTTGTGTCCTTGAGCAAGACACTTAACCCACCTTACCCCTAGTGTCTGTGTACACTGGTGTATGATTGTGTGTGTGAACGGGTGAGTAGTTCCTTGTTGTAAAAACGCTTTGAGTGCCTTAAAGGTGGAAAAGCCCTGTATGAAAATGTGATATTTACCATTTTACCTTTTAACATTCAGCAGAGCTCGGTGTTATTATTGCTGATTTTACACGTACAGGACGCCAGAGGACGCAAGTGAGCGGTTAGAGTGCTACCGGAAATTGGCCCACAAAGAAGAACAGAGGGAAAGAATCAGGAACCAGCTCCAAAAAAGTGGCTAAAGTGTAAACAGCGGTCCCGAAAGAGGTAATTATGTGAGCGCAGATGAAACATTTGTAATTTAATCGTTTAATTTAGGAGTGTTAGCTGTTTGGGCATCAGTTACACGCTGTGATGTGTCTTGTCTGTGCCTGGTACTTCCTGTCCTCTAGTTAAATGGCTTTAGCGGCTAATGCTAATGCTAAACTGCGTGATTCCTTTGCGTAGCTTGGAAATAAAACTACAGACTAACACAAGAGTCAGTAAATATGCTAAAAACTACAGATTACACACCAGCATGACCCTGACTCAAATCTCGCGTTGATACTTCTTTATATTTGCCAGTGTATTTTTGTATTTATCCGCAAAAACGAGCTAAGGACCTGTCAAAACAACGCTAACATTAGCCTTCAAACTATGTGATGTTGACATTACACATGCATAATTACAGTCATAAATCACGTTGTAAATCACAGCCTGAATGTACCGGAGCAATGTATTAAGAATGAGTTTAAGGTTATTTTTTTAACCTAAGTGTTAAGTTTTGTCAAGCTCAAATTGCCATCGGACTGTTTACCTTTACGTTTGTTTTGTGGTGGGCTGCTATAACATTGTGCAAATATGTAATGTTAATAATGTGATTGTAAGACTCAAGATTTTATTGTCATTATCATAGAAAAAAAACAACGAAATGACCTTTAAAGAGTCAAACAGTACAGTTTTGTGTAAGGCGCTCAGAGCGATCAGTAAAAACAACTGTACCTTTCTTGTTTTCTTGGCTTCTTCTATATCTATGTTTTTGTTCACTCTTTACATATGTGATAGGCTGACCACATTGTATTCTAAATAGATGTCGTGGGCCTCTATACACTCCTAAATGCCCACTGCGCTTGAGCTGTGACTGAAAACACCTGCCAAGATGCCTTCAGTGTCCACCGGCCCCAAGGAACTGTACCTGTCCACGTCTCTGGGTGACCTAAACAAGAAGGCAGAGGTTAAACCAGACAAGATCAACACCAGGAGGTAGGCCCGAAAACAAAATTCGTGCTACCTTCCAGGGAAATGGGTGGTAGGACTGTTTGTCATTTGAATGTTACAAGCCACAAGCCACATTAACACTAGGGTTGTCAAAATTAGGGATAATACTAACCAATACTAAAACTAATATTGAAAACTAGATACTCATTTGAGCAGGTATCAATGCTAAAAAAAGAAAAGAAAGCTTTCCCGAGTAGCTTTAGTATGATTTTGAGCTTTATCAGATGGTTTTGAGCTTCATCACAAATATGAGACCTCATGCTAAGACTAAGAAAGCTCTATTATTCTGTATATAAAAATCACATTCTACTGCTAAAAAATTAATTTCGTAATTGGTATCTTAGACTTATTTAGACTTAGACAAACTTTATTGATCCACAAGGAAAATTATTTGGACACATCACAATAAATATAAAAACAAAGAGCAAAAAAAAAAATATATATATATATAAGTGGTAATAGTAAATATATTTTGACGATATACAACAGGTTATAAGTTACTACAGTTATGGTATCTGCCTTTTTGAAACAGTATTTATATTTCCATTTGTTTTTCTTGTGCTGCAGTTATGTCCAGAGTGCCTGTAAACTCTTCAAGGCAGCGGAGGAGTGCCGTTTGGACAGAGATGAGGAGAAGGCTTATGTGTTTATATGAAATATTTAACAGTCTATGATGTTGTTAAAAAGAGACCAGACTTCAAACAGCAACAGGTGATGATTCTTTAGTCGAATGTTAAATGAAACTATTTACTGTTTTTACTTTATATTGACATATAGTTACTTAAAGGTAAAGCTCTATTTTAAATAAGTCATATTTAAATACTCTATTCTATTATTTTATTTAACTTATCCATTTCTTTACTCTGTTAAAGATTTCTATTGTATATATCCAATAAAAAAATAAGTGTATCTTTTTTTATACATAGGACTATTTTATGACAATGCTGGGACCAAACAGCATTAAAAAAGCCATTGAAGAAGCAGAGAAACTCTCAGAAAGTCTCAAACTCAGGTTAGTTTGTTGAGTGTGTGTTGTTATAGCTTAAGATGAATGGTATGTCAAACCTGTATGTTGAATATTTTCTTTACAATTTCAGGTATGAGGAAGTTGAGGTGCGCAAAAAACTTGAGGAGAAAGAGAGACTGGAAGAGAAGAAGAGAAAGGAGGAGATAACAGAGAAAGAGAGTGGTCGATCCTCTCCCAAAACGACAGGCAAAAAGGACATTAAGAAGGTACACCAGTCAAATAATCAATAAGTTCTGTTTGATATGAATATTTAAACTCTTACAGCAGAGCATTGATCCAGCTGAGTCCCTGTTCAATACAAATTTGTGGTTGCTGAAACTAAATACGGGCCATTTCCTGTGATTTATTGGACAATTTGAGCACAAGGAAAGCACTGTCCATTTGGCATTATTGTATTCAGTGTACACCAAAACCCCCTTAGTGTTTATTATTCAGCTCAACTAGACATATTATTCAAAATCTCTTTTTAAGAATGTTCATAATGGTTTCCCTCTTAATTTAAAGGTCCTATATTACACAAAATTGACTCTTGTGAGCTTTAAGTCATGTTAAAATGTTGTTACTTCATCAAAAACAGACCTGGGGTTGGGTTTTGTTTCATCTGTACATGTTTGAGTAACCTTTTATTATTGTTTACATCTCCAAAGCTCAAATTAAATCACACATGTTTGAGTAATGTTTATTGCCCTGCATTCAAGGTGTATTGCTCCAAAACAAAATCCTGTTTTTCCCTATACCCCCATACACGGCCACTGCTGTTTCTGTGAACTGTTTCCATTGGTGTTGGTAGAGTAGAGCTTTGTTATGATGACGGTTTGAGGAAATAAGCTCTCCAGTTTTGACCCAGAAGCTGATTTAAAATGAACAAAATGTAAAATAACCTGCATATGTCATATTATAGCTAATATCCAGAAAGCATGTTTCTTTAGACCTGTCACAATAACAAATTTAAGTGCACTATACTCATGAAGAAAATATAGACTAAAATATTTCATCTAATTTATACCACTGACACAGTAATGTTAAAGCAGGATTTAACCAAAACAACTTTTCTACTTTTGCAATATCAGTAAAAAACATGAGCCTCAACAAAGCGATGAAACATGAAACATGTAAATGTTTAGTTTATATCTACATTAAAATGAGTCAGAAGAAGCTCAAATCTTAGTGCAGAAAGATAACAAAAAATCCCCATTTGTCCAAAGAAAAAGTTCTCATGATAATTTTTTGATTGAACAATAAGTCAAGTAAGTCAAGTAAGTCAAGTCATAGGATTTATATGTCTTTAAAGGGCCCATATTTTGCTATTTTTTGGTCTGTTCTAATGTTGTTATCTCATCAAAAACATACCCAGAGTTGTGTTTTGTTTCATTCACACATGCGTAACACACAAACCCTGCATATGCACAGTATTTTAAAGTTCCTCTCTCTAACCTGAAAACACTCTGGTGTCATGTGGTGATAGAGGTTCACTAGAATAAGTATAATAATATACTAAATTATATAATAATTTAGATCATTTCAGCCCTGGAATTGCCACTCTCTACTGAAGTGAAAAGGTAGCTGTTAACTTGAAAACTACCACTACATGACATCCCAAGGTGGAAGAGAGCATCTTGAGGTTTGGAGATATAGACAGACTTATAATAAAACGTTCAGATCATCAACTTGCGTGAATGAAACAAAACACACCTCTAGGTGTGTTTTAAGGAGGTAACAACATTATAACATGGCTTAAAGCTCACAATAATAAGTTTTGCGTAATACAGTACCATTAATGTTTGTTGCTTTTGTCCTTGATTTACCCTTAGAAAATGGTTTGAGCCCTATATGCTTGTGACCATTTACCCTTTTCATGTACACTCAATGTCATTTGCCTCACCAACCAAGCTGATTTGAATATGTGTGCGTGTGTGACAGAGCTGATTTAACTTTAAAATCCCGCATCATGTCAAAATACAGTGCATTGTTTATAAGAGCTGCTGAATAATTAATGACTGTGACTTCATGGCTTACAAACCACACAGTGTTAATAACAGACTGTAATAACAATGTCAAATAGTCTAATTCAGATTGCCTTGAAACTAGTTACTTATTCTTTTAATCTTGTTTTTCAGGTAAAGGATGGACAGAATGAAATAAAGAATGCAACTCCAAAAGGTAAGTGTATTATTCAACTTATTTAGGTTGGGTTGGGTTATTTAGGTTTACTTGTTCTAGGTTGGGTGGTATTATTTGGCATGGGGCTCTCGATCTCACAGCAAATAAGTTCTACAAGGACTACAAAGCCATCCCAGGGAATTGGTGCATTATTTGACTTGTTGGTACGCATGAACATTGAACATTTTAAACAAATCAATTTACTTTATATCAGATTTTAGTGTAGAAATGTTTCTCAAATTCTCCACATAAATGAATGGGATTTTCGCTTAATCAACTGTGCTACCACAAAGGAAGTTTAGTCACATTTTGAGGCATTTTGACTCCTACATTAAAGTACAATTATCGCAATCAGAAAACCTTATTAGTCCCCTGAAGAGCAACTAATTATCTACATTAACCTTCCACAATAAAGTAAAAAAAAAGTATATTATATTCAAATATAATATGTTCAAAATTAAGTACTTGTATTGACCCATTTAGAATCCAATTAATAAACTGTCCAAAGATAAAGTATTAATGCAAATATTAAAGTCAGACAATGACTAAATTTGCGTTTACTGGCGTAATCGAGCAACCCAATAACTATCAGTCTTAATTATCCTGTTACACAGTGCACCTTTAACTCCAGATGTGCATGTGCCAATTCATTAATGTTTTTATAAATTTACACGGGCATTTGGAAGTAAAATCATTTCTTGTCCTCCAGCGGTGACGCCAGCAGGGGGCATCACGGCAGAGAAACTGTTTGCTCTGATGAGGGACCAGGCGATCTCGCTGATGGTGATGGACGCGCGGCCGCTTAAAGACTTCGAAGAGTCCCACATCCAGGTCCCAACTCAGACCTGCATCAGCGTCCCAGAGGAGGCCATCACCCCGGGGTAACAACCACAACAGTTGGGATGGGGCAGAGAAAGAACAAAAACCTGTGAGGGGTGACATTTAGAGAAATAGCTAAATATGAAAACACAGCACCCTCAATTGCCTGACAAATCAAAGTTTAACACAATCCCAGTTTGAATGGTCGCAGTTGACAAAGGTTGAAATTATAATTAAGAAGATATTGTCCTGTGCACTGAACAAAATATCAGTACACCACCACTCTTTTTTAATAGTCATTTTTATATTAAAATCTGCAAATCTTGTAATAGGAATCTTTGCTTTAAAGGTACACTGTGCAACTTTTCTGGTGTGCCTCCTGCATGTCTGAAGGAGATGTTAGTTGCTTTGACAGGAATGTTCCACAGTATGAGTTTATATATATTTTATTTATGATATATTGGCGTTAAGTTGATTTTATCTTGCTTTTTTTCAATTGCAGGTGTTTAATTGCTACAGAATTATCTTGAAAAAGATGCATTCTTATTGTGAGTTAGGGTCACCTCTCCACAGATCTGACCTACTTCGTGCTATCTGCCTGTCTCCATGGAAATATATCTTTTTAATGCCATACTGCGTGATGTCAGGTGGAGCATGTCAGGCAAAAAATCTATGTAGGCAATCTATAGATAATCTATGTATCTATCTCTATGTAGGCAAGCAGGTAGTGGTGCTCAGTGTTTCACAGAAAAAAAATAGTATTGTATAATTCAGTGTTCCTTGGACAGCTCTTCAGTTTGTGGGTTTGCCTAATTTAGAGTTCATTTTATCCACTTCTTTGGATAACTATGTCTTGTTTAGAGCTTTACTGGAAATGATCTAGTCCACATTTAGACCAGGTTTAGCACCAGATAAAACCTGGAATAGTCCTGTTATAGACCTGGTTCAGATCTGGTAGTATTCAGAAAGCCAGATTGTTTCTTTGGTGGTACTTGGTATGAAAAGTTGAGAGACACTACAGTACTGTGCTACATTATAATTGGTATTTGTTCATATATTTGATTTTGTCTTCTCCAGAATCACTGTGAATCAGATTGAGGTGAAGCTGCCGGAGGTGTCCAAAGAGTCCTGGAGGAGGAGAGGTTTTGTGGATTACATCGTTTTACTTGACTGGTTCAGCTCCGTCTCAGACCTGGCCCTCGGCAACACTCTGCGGAGCCTCAAAGACGCACTATTTGTGGTGAGATTTTTTTCTATTTTAGAATATGTTATCGCCAAAATATACATTATTCATAACAGCAACTCTAAATGTTAAAGTAGCTATACCAAATATTGTCTAAATACCTCCTACCACTGTTCATGGTTTGGAAATAGAGGAACAGAGGAGCTCTTTCTCCAACAGGCTCCTACAGGCTCCTAAAGCTCCGCTCAAACAATGAGAGATACAGGACTAAATTCATACCACTCTCCATACAATTGTACAGAAAGCCCTTTGTCCTGTCATTATTTAATCTTTGCACTATTTATCTTTACCTACCTCTTGTATATAGCAGAGATATATTTACTATATTACTTTATTTTTTAATTTCTATTGTTATTTATATAATGTAATAATTTGTTAGTGCTTTTTATGTTTCAAAGATTGAAAAAATAATTAGTTGCAAGAGTCCAGTTTTACACTGTTGGAGATTCTTAGTCAGACATGAACAGCTGGAGGAAGTGTGTGTGGAAAGGGAAGTCTGGGCATCCTTGACTTAGAAGTACAAACTTACAAATCTTATATTGTCCTTGTTCTTTGTAAATTGTAAGGACTTCTTAGTTAGTTAGAAAGCCAGATTGTTTGTTTGTAAATGCAAATTGTAAATGTAAGGACTTCTTAGTTAGTTAGGAGCTGGAGGAAGTTTTCCTGCTTAGAAGCACAACTTACAAATCTTATGTATGTAATTGTTATTTTATTACATATTGTTCATTGGTATTTGTTCCTTTTGTTCACAGTGGGACAGTATAACGATCCTGCGCAGTGAGCCCCTGGTTTTGGAGGGAGGATACGAGAACTGGCTTCTCTTTTATCCAATGTACTCGACAAACTCCAAAGTCAAACCCCCGAGACAAACCTTCACCAACACACTGCCTCAATGTAAGGACTGCGGGTTTAAGAAAATATATGTAATATCCACTGTATCATTGTTTCTCAGAGAGGTGGTACATGGGGTCTTCTGTAATTCTGTTTATATGGGTTAGTCCTTCTTTAGAACTACTCAGGTCATGGTAGTCCTAGTTTAGACCTGATATTGTGCTGTTTCAGACCTAGTTTAGACCTGATATTGTGCTGTTTCAGACCTTGTTTAGACCTGTTCTAGACCTGTTCTAGACCTGTTCTAGACCTGTTCTAGACCTGTTCTAGACCTGTTCTAGACCTGTTTTAGACATGTTTTAGACCTTGTATAATGGTGGTTTGGACCTGGTTTGGACCTGGTTTAGTGTTGTTTTAGACCTGTTTTAGACCTGTTTTAGACCTGTTTTAGACCTGTTTTAGACCTGTTTTAGACCTGGTGTACTGCTGGGTTAGACCTGTTTTGTTACTGGTGGTACTGGGGGTACAGGCAAATACTTAAGTGGTCCTTGGTGCTGGCTATTATTATGCTTCTCTTTTAAGTCAGTCATCCAGTTTTGGCTATATTTTTTCTGTTTTGTGGCGAGGAGAAAATTCAGTTTGTCGACTGGACAAAAGTTAGTTTGGTTGATACCAAAACCAAACCAAAGTGCTAATTTTGATGGGTGTGTGAAGGCAAAAGAGGCCAAAAATGGGTAAAAGTTGAGAGGAATAAACTGTTTGCTTTCCTTTTTTTACATTTTAAAACTCCATTACTTGATTCCTCCCATTTTCAAGTAATCACAAGAAGAGACAGGATTGTTAGCTGTGGCTCAAACGTGTTCCCCACTTGTACAAAGCCTCCAGCACATTCCATGTTTCGGTCCATTATGGAGGGATATTACTATAAATTCTTTGTTCCTGCGTTCACGTGTGAGACCATTTTAGTTCTTGTTTCTTCATTTCTTGGTCTATCTAGTCCTTGTCTAGTCCAGATTTAGTTCCAATTTTGATTTGATGAATGCACAAGTGCTACCTGGGATCCAGAATACACACTTCATCTATACTTTACAAAAATGTGAGTCTGGTCACCGATGAATCTCCCTCAGAGGGGCATGATTTACGGGTGGATTAGCCATTCAAGGACCCACATGGGATTGAAAAACATGGTTGGTTGCTGCAGAATCAGTGATAGAAGCACTTAAATTTGTTTATCTGAGGCGAGAGAAATGTTAACTTATTCATAATAGGTGACCAATGAGCTCCGTTTCGCATGCTTCACTGAAAATCAAGAAAAAACTAATCTGATTAGACGACCATGTTTGGTTCTAACGCGACAGAGGGGTATATCTGTATAAAATATAAAGATATAAAGCTCTCATAATTTGTATAAAACCACAGAGACAACATTTTGGATTTGTTAGGCAAGAGCAACTGTAAAGGGCAACCCTTAGTAACCCTTTCTTGTGTATTTTTCCCAGTGAACTTTAGCTACCCCTCTCTTGAAGACCCCAAGCCTCCACCACCTCCCCAGCCCGAGCCCCAGGTCCTCCCTGAGCCGGTGGAACCCTCTGCCCCTCCGATGGTGAACGGTGTGGTCTGTGCAAATGCCCCACCCCCTCAGACCACAGTGACGGACACACAGCCCCCACAGACCACCATGACGGACAGACACGCCGATGCAGTGGACAGGACTGGACCAGAGCTCAGCAAGAACTCAGGTCCAACCGGCCAGGCGCCTGTCGTAACCAAAACATTCCCCCAGGTATTTAATGCACATCATGTATGGAGAAGCCTGTATACAATGATGGACAAAACTAGGCAGTACTTTAAAATTACACTTTTCATGGCAAGACAATACTTTATTAACACACATGATTATTAACAATACGTTTATTAAGAATTATTTAGGCTTAAAATCTTCTAAATTAAAACACTAGCCCTATCTCTTAACCCTAACTCCTTAATTAATTTACTAATCCTGAATCATTGTTAATATGTAAATCTGTTCATTATGAATTTAGTATTTGTTCATGCTTTACTTAAGTTTATTTGTAGTTTGTGTAGTTATTCTAAAACCTAAAACTACAAAGGGATGACTGTACGGAGAATGCAAATGTCAAATATCAAAACATGCATTCTTTCTGTGAGTGGCGTTGTCTCTCTGCAGATCTGATCCATAATTTGGCCATGTGACATCCCCTGATTGTCTCCATGGAAACTGATATATTTTTATGCCATAGTGTGCTTTTTTTTTATTTGAAATATAGCAGATTTTGTATACTGATTCTTTTGTATTAAAGCAGATTACAAATAATAGCAATAATGTTTTCATATTGGTAACTAAATCTTGGTAATTAAAAATCTCTTATTCTGTCAGTTTGATCGCGCCAAGAAGCCCTCTGTGAGAATCGTAGAAGAACCTAAACCCAATGTGAACGGTGCAGCCAAAGAGTCGACCCAAAACGGACCCCTGATACCGAACCGCTCCGTCAAACCCCCCGTGACCCAGAGTCAAATGAACGCAGAGGCCACAGCAGAGGTGGAGAGGGCTAGACAGGAGCAGGAGACGAGAGAGAGGGAGCTAAAGGAAAGACTTGAACGAGAGAACAGCGAAAAGAGGAAGGAGGAGGAAGAGGAGAAGAAGGAGAAGAAGAAGTTGGAGCGACAGAAGGCGGAGGAGGTGGAGGACAGCAGAGGAGAGAGAGAGCGCAGAGGAAAAGATGCAAACGCTGACACGCCCTCGAAAAGCATGTCCTTGGACTCGCCCGCCCCAAACCACCTCGTCAGTGAAATTAAGGTGTGTTTCTTGTTCACACAGCACAAAAAAACACAGTGTATTTTTTGTTTTGTTACAGTAAAATTGGTAATGATAGAAAATATGAACCTGCTTTTGGAGTAGTTTTGGCATTATACTAAAATTTCAAATACTGTTTAGATACTTAGACTTAGACTTAGACAAACTTTATTGATCCACAAGAGGAATCATTTGATGCTATAGATTCAATTTGATATTCTGTACAAAAGTTGATACCCAATGATAATCTTCAAAGATCTTTTTTTAGACAATTTTGTAATATTTTTAACACAAATACCATGTGGTCTTACATTAGTTACATTAGTTCTGATAAAACCCAATAAGAAACTGTTCAGGGAAGGTCATTTAAAAAAAAAATTATAAATACTTGCTTAAATTCTAGTTTCAAAACTAATTTTAGTATCTGTCAGTAACTAATTTTATATACTTTTGACAACCCTCTTTTAGCCTTTCTTGAATTTCCCTCAGGATCAATAAAGTACCTCTCTCTCTCTCTCTTAGTTATGTTTTATTGGGCTTTTATATTTGTATTATAATACCTACATCGAAGGATGGGTAGAGGTCAGAGTTCCCGCTGAGGACAATAAAGTGTAACATTTACCATAACCTTAACAACAGGAAATTCAGGACAAGCTGTTACTCATATACTGAACATAAGAAAACCAACACAGGCTTAAAGGTGCAGTGTGTAAGTTTTACGGGGAAAGGTCCTTCATCTGCTGAACTTATTGACCTTTCATGTATTTATTCTATTACAAGCATTTTTACTGCTCCATCTGCAAGTGTAATGCACAAAATTGTCCATTATCAGAAAGGCTTATTGGTTATGGGAATAATGCATAGATAATTGAATCTCCTTGAAGACTCCTTGAGTACTTGATAGCTCTATAGGAGGGTCAAACAGTGTTTTGTTTTGTTATTTTAATTTTAATTTTATTTTTTTTCAATACAGAGGGAGCCACTGACCAGAGCAAGAAGTGAAGAGATGGGCCGCAGTGTACCTGGGCTGCCTGTTGGATGGATGAAGGTAAAAATGTAAAATTTGACTATTACAAAGAATAAAGGTCTTATGTTATTATGTTGTTGTTAATTTATATCAATATATCTCATAAAATTAGCTTTTATATGCAAAATACCCTCATTATTAGCTTAATCACAGTTGTATTTTGAGAGATTTTATACATATTTATAGGTCCGATATTACGCTATTTTCTCCTTTTATGTTGTTTTCCTCATTGCAAACATACCTGGAGTTTTGTTTCATTCAAAGATAAAAGGAGCAGTTAATGTTAAAACTGACGCTACATGAGATCACAAGTTGAAACTGAGTGTTTTGAGCTTTGGAGATGTTGACAGACTAATAATAAAGCATTACTCAAACATGTGTGAATGAAACATAACAACTCCAGGTATGTTTTTGGTGAGGTTCAACACTATAGCATGGCTGAAAGTTTACAAGAATTAATTATGTGTAATATAGGACCTTTAAGTAATCCTACATTTGTGGCATGACTGCATAGAAAATGGCAGTATACAACTACCAACTATCCTTTTTCTGACTTGCAAGAATCTGAAAAAGTCAAAGAGGTCAAAATGTTCAAATAATAAATACATGTTGAGTAGAAAATGTTGACAATCTGTTATCATAGTTTATTGTAATGGGGAAAAAAATCCCTGTATTTGACATAGAACATGATAACTGTTTGAACTACAGCTCATACACTTTTTCTCCCTGTAGTTTCTTGACACAGTGACCGGCACTTACCGCTACTACCACTCACCGACAAATATGGTCCACCTGTATCCACCGGAGGTCACTGTCCCCCAGACTCCGCCCTCGACTCCGCCCACCGTCAAAGCCAAACCCAAACCTCTTGAACCGGATGCCAAAATCGAACGTGAACGCGAGCAGTCGAAGTTGAAGCGCTCCTACTCGTCTCCAGACATCAGCCAAGAACTGCGAGAGGAGGCCCAGAAGAAAGCCACAGCGCCCATCACTGCTACTGTCATCCCCACAATCAACAGAGAGACCAAGTATGACCGAGTGTTTATGCATTTCGCATTTGTTTCAAGTAAAAGAAAACGACAATGGAGCTCAACAGTCCAGCACACTTTGAAGTTTGCTCTGGTTCCAGAAGTAAATTTTTTCTTAATTTTTCTCATAGACTTTCCAAAAAATTCTAATATGAACAGTTCAGGCATCATATAGTCTAATCGGCGATGTGGTAATTAATATCCATAACAAGTCCAGAAAAGATTCGGTGAAATGTTTTCATAACTTAGCAGTTTATAAAGTTTCAGAAACATAAAATTATTGACCTTTTTAAACATGCTTTTTGGACTTCTTGACACATATCTGGTTAGCCTCCACAAAGCCTTTAAACTCTTGATATTTTAATGTTTTTAAATGTTTGTGAAAAAAATTTAAAGAATGAAAAACTTTTGGAACCAGACTTTGAAGTGGGTGGGACTGTTGAGCTCCGTTACATCGTATTTTAGGTTACAATTGCATATTTTCCTAAATTCAATATTAATAATAGTACAGTCATGAGTTGCATAAAAAAATAATAATTAAATAATTTCTTCTTTAGCCCATAGCTTCTTTGACAATGCTCTCAAGTAACATTCACAATAAGGCGTTAGCTGTAAGTAATGGTATCATAGTTCATATCATCAGTATATATTAATGAGTCATAGTTGTAAAAATGCTTTTTGTTTCACTGCTGTATATAGATTTAAAAAAAAATGTGATTTTGCACTGAGCACTTATCCAAGTCCTATCTACTTTAGACCAACAGCTACTAAAGTCTACCAGAAGGTGGAAATAGTACGACCGTCCGCTGCCAAACTTAGAAATCTGAACCCGACCTTTGGAGGCATGGGTGCGTCTCTGACCGGACTCCGTAACCTGGGCAACACCTGTTACATGAACTCCATCCTCCAGTGTCTGTGTAACACTCCTGCCATGGCTGACTACTTCAACAACAACTACTACATGGAGGACATCAACAGGTCAGTCAAGAGGACACGTGTTATGCTAAATCAACTTACAGGAATCACTCAACAAAACCATATGTTTGAGTAATCCGGTGTTGTCATGCGTTCAAATTGTCACTGCTTTGAAAAATTCTGTTCTCACTCATCACCTGTCTCCACCCACTGCCTTGTACTGAAAATTTCCTGCTACAGTTAAATGGCACAAGGAAGAAACATATTTTGATTTGTATTAGTTTATATTATTAAATAATTTTACATCAGTATTGCTACCATATTATAACTTGTCCAAAACATATCAGAAATGGTTTTATGTCATTCATGCATCTTTGAGTAATCTTCCAATCTCTCCTGAGCCTTTTTAAACCCTCCTTACGATTAGCAGCATGAGAATGTACAAGTCTCAATCCCACGTAACGCATGCACCTGGCAATTTTTTTTATAAATAGACTGATTGTGTTATGATACTGTGGCACTATTTACAGTATACATTTTAATACAGTATGTTGTTTTCAATGATTATAGCATTTTCCAAACAATAAAAGGCAAACCATGACTATCAAAATACGCAATGAGTAAACAATTAATACGCCATAGATGTATATATCCTCTTTATACTAAATCTGTGCCAAATAATGAAGTATGTAGTGTCTGTATAATTGTAGTTTTTGACCTGGTCCTTCTCCTCTGGCAGGTCTAACATCCTGGGACACAAAGGGGAGGTGGCGGAGGAGTTTGGGGTGATCATGAAGGCGCTGTGGGCCGGTCTCTACAAATGCATCAGCCCCAGAGATTTCAAAATCACCATCGGAAAAATCAATGAACAGTTTTCATCCTACGACCAACAAGATTCACAAGAGCTGCTGCTGTTTCTGATGGACGGACTGCACGAGGATCTCAACAAGGTGCTTCTATTACTACCACTACTACTACCACTGCTGTTCCTCTGTGATTGGCCTTAAGTTTGAATTATTAGTTCAGTCCGAAATGTGAAATGAAATCATATCCAAGTTAAATTATTCCAGGCTAAACTGTTATAAAATCTATTATTCACTGTAAAAGTACCGAAACCAGATTGTCACTGAATATTTCAACCTAGTGTTTTTATGATTTTCTTTCTTTTTGCCTGGTTTCATTTTGATGGAATATTAGCGAGTAAGTACAGAGTCTGTGTGGTGTGGTCTGTTTCTTTCTCTGCATGTTGGACCCAGACATGCCTCTCATCGACCTATTCTATCCTGGTTTCTCTTGCTCATCTAAAAAGCCTATATTATGCAAAACATTGCCTTTTTTTTTTAGCTTTTAACCATGTTGTGATCTCATATTGGTGGTGTGATGTGATGTCAGTCTCCCAGATGATAAAAAACAAGTTTCAGTTTCCCTGTTGACTATTTTTTTTATGTGCAAGGTTAATGATATTGTGCTATTTTGGTCAAATCGCCATATATAATGATTTAAAACTAATTCACACCCACATTTTCTGTTGGTCAGCCTCTGCAGAGATTTGAGTTTGACCGACCTGTGGGTTTAACCAATTACAGTGGAGTGTGAGGAAGAAGCACATTACTTTGTTAGTTAGTTAAGTCTTCAAGGTAATTCAAAGATACTAAGTTTAAATGAACTGTGATAAAACACAACTCTAGATGAGCAGTGTTTTTAAAGAGGGGGTATTAGACTTCTATGGGGTATTAATTGCTAATACATAACTTATTTAGATCACCATGTTAACCTCTAGTGTTCTGAAATGCTTAATAAGTTTTTGACGTGCTGAGTCCCTGCCTCCCTTTGTCTCCATGCTAAGTCACTCCCCCTACAGAGCATTATCACATTACAATCAGCATGCAGCCCTATAATGAAATTACGGCACATTGCATCAGGTTTGTGAAGTTGTAGTACATTATTTTGTATCCTGCTTGTGGGCTGAGCATTGGACAGGATCTTACTGCTAACCAGAAGAGGAAAGATTGCTAAATTACTCATACACACATGTATGACATCTAAAACCTCTTTGTGGATGTTTTTGATAATTATAAGACATTATTATAGTTGGTAGCTAAATACCCCCTCTTTAAGTTATTCTGCTTATTTATTTGGTCTCTACAGCGTAATCCACAAAGCTGTAGATGCTCTAACTGCCTCTAACAAGCATCTTTGTAAATTTCAATCTAGCAGCCAGAGTTTAAGGTGTCCAAAGTCGTTTAAAAAGTTTGGATTTTGCATGATATAGGACCTTTAATGGCGTTTATGTCCTGCCTCTCATCACATCCCCTTTGTGTGATGTCAGATGTTTTGTGTATGATCAAAACAAAACTGCATTAAGTGTGGATTTTTATTTGGAAATAGAGCTGTGCAGTGAATCAGATTTTAATTAACATTATTTTCTTATTATTAATGATCAGCTTGGGTCTTTTTATTGGAGAGTCTATAGAGTCAGTAAAACTTGTGGTTTGGAGCAGAGATCAGATTTAAGAGGAATAAACTTGACTTCTACATGACAATTATTAAATGTCTTATACTGGATTTTTTGTTTTAATATTGGATAAAGATTGGTTTGGTCATGGGTAGACAGATTAGATAAGAGAGAAATTTGAGCAGTCTGGGCTTCATGTCCGATTTGGAGTTGGCTTCATCATGTTCAGTTTTATAAATGTAGTAAAATAGTTCAGTGTGGTGGTAGGTAATAGGTTTAATAGTTTGGTGGTACTGGTAGAGGGTTAGAATGAGCAAACAATTTGATGTGCTGTGGTACTTGTATTTAACTTGTATTAATATTGTTGCTTAGTTACACAGGTGAAGTCTAGTTAGATTTTTTTTTACATTGTTGGAGCATATTGTTATTGTACATTACTGAATGCCCTAAAATCACATTGCATTTTATTAATACATTTCCAAATAAAAATCCTTGTTTTGTGCTGAAATGGCCTTTACCACAGACATCAGTTGTAGTTCAAACACTCTCATCTGGTTTGAGATGGAACAGTCCGGGTTGCATGCAAAAGACGCTGAACATATTTGAATATTACTCCAGCTCCTGCTTTACCACACTTTGTCTTTCGTTTGACCATTTATCCATAAATCTGATCTTTTAATGGCATTTGTCTTTACATGTGATCTAGGACTGCAGAAATATGCGCAAATATAGCAGCTCAGCAGCTCAAAAAATATTGTATAAGCTATTAAAATCAAAGGGATGAGTCATATTAATGTAATGTAATGTTTAGTGGTAGCTCTGTTTTGCTGTTGATACTTTGCAGTGACATCGCTGTGACGGTGTTCTGCGTGAATGTCTATGGCAGGATGTTTAGCAGTTACCATGGTGACACATTTCACACATAAGCAAACACTGCCTGATTTATTGTCAGACCATCTTAAAACTTTTCAGGACTCTGTGATCAATACGTGTGTTGATGGACCCATTTTGGTTTTCAACAAAAATGGTGGGCGTGACTTAGAAAAAACTGAGAGTGACCAAAAACTTAGATTGACCAGACGTCCCTATTTACCTGGGACAGTTCCAGTTTTGAGCCTGTGTCCCGTGTCCCTGTAGATTTATCCAAAACCAGTGATTTGTCCCAGTTTTATACAACTAATTTCCCAAGTGTCCCTATTTTTGACTGTTACCTTTCAACAGTAAAGAAAGGCACACATTGTCATTTGTTTAGGTAAAATAGAGAAAAGCTGATTAAAAATGACCAAAACACAAAGAAAATGTGACTAAACTGACTAACATCAGTGCCAAGTGCATAACAATTTTCCTTAATTCACAATTCTCACAATTTTATTATTACCAACCAACCCACACCAGTTATGTCCATTTTGTTATTATGAAAATCTGGTCACCCTAAGATAGTTAATGACTGTAATTTTATGTGTAAGAAGTCAAATCAACCTCCCTGCTGTAGTTTCAGTGAAATCAGTACTTTCTGGTCAGATTGTGTTAAAAATGAAGCTCAGGTTAAAGTCTAACTTGAGTAACAGGGCTTCAGACAGAGCAGTGCCTACAGTTAGTATCACACCTACATCATTCAGTCTCATACATTAGTACAAGTTGTAAATATTCAGATGTCTAAGCTAAAAGTCCCTCTGTGTGTGTGTGTGTGTGGTCCCAGGCGGACAACAGGAAACGCTACAAGGAGGAGGAGAATGACCATCTCGATGACCAGTCTGCAGCGGATCTGGCGTGGAGCAAACACAAGGCCCTGAACGAGTCCATCATCGTGGCTCTGTTCCAGGGACAGTTTAAGTCCACGGTGCAGTGCCTCACCTGCCACCGCAAGTCCAGGACCTTTGAGACCTTCATGTACCTGTCCCTGCCCCTCGCTTCCTCCTCCAAATGCTCCCTACAGGTCAGAACGCACTGCAGATACACAGGTTACATTGGCTCTGTTTAGATAGATTCAATTTAAAGGTGCATTGCGTAACTTTTCTGGTGGATGGTCTGTCAAATGCTTTTCTCCATGGAGATGCTATTCCTTTGTCTGGAATGTTTCACAGTATGGGATTAACCCTTTCTATCTCCATGGAGACCAAACCAGACCAAGGTTTGGTTTTCAGTAATTTTGAGCTATAAACCACCTGTAATTTAATAAATGTAAGGTAGAGCTGTTTAATGTCATACTGTGGAACATTCTAGGTAGAGCAATGACATATCCACGGAAACAAGTAGGTGACGGATGCATAAAAAAGTTACACAATGCATCTTTAAGTTAAACATTAGACAACAAAACAAGAGTGACAAGGACAAGCTTACTGTTGGTGCCAAATGACAATTAAATACACTATAAACCTGCCCAACCCTAATCTAATTATGAGAAATCTGCTTTAGGGCTTGACATGATTGATTTCAGTAACTGTGATTAATCGGCTGTTCAGATAATCATTAACTGTATTTGTTATCATTTACTAAATAAATTAAGCCATCTTATAAAGTTGTTACCTCATCAAAAACATACTTGGAGCTGTGTTTTGTTTCAGTCACACGTGTTTCTGTAACTCTTTATTATTAGTCTGTCTACATCTCCCAAGGTTAAAATGCTTTGTTTTTCTTCCACCTTGTGCTTATCTCATGAAGCGGTAGTTTTCAAGTTAACAGCTACCTGTTATCTTTTGTTCAGTAGATATTATTCCAGGGCTGAAATTTTCCAAATAATTCTCGTGAAGGTGCAGTGGAGCACTTCCTGTATTGTTCCATGACATCACAAAGTGTGTTAAATGTGTGTGAATGAAACAAAACACAACTCTGGATATTGGCCTGATGAGGAAACATTACAACACAGATCAGAAAATAGCGTTATATGTTGGTGGTCTTTCTCCGAATGATGTTAACTCTTCACTTACAAAAATGCACAAATGTCAGACTGCCTATCATTTTCCTCTTTACTTAACTTAATTAATCCAATAATAATATAATAATAAAAAGAAAATTAAAAATCAGCTTTTAAGATGCTTTACAAGATTGCAAAAAGGAAATACATGAATTTTATGAAGAATAGAAAAATTTGCACTACCCATTTGAGGAAGTTTTTGGTGCTTCTGAATTTAACTTTTTTGTTTTTTATTATTACTATTTTTTATATTGATACATTTTCCCATGTTTTTAAAGGCTATATCGAAATGTTTGAGGTACAATTCTCACTTTTTTTTTTTTTTCTCTTACAGGATTGTCTTAGACTTTTCTCTAAAGAGGAAAGGCTCACAGACAACAACAAAGTATTCTGTCGACATTGCAAAGCTCATCGAGACTCAACCAAGAAACTGGAAATCTGGAAGGTCCCACCAATTTTGCTTGTGCACTTAAAACGGTCAGTACCTTTGCCCTTAAAGTGGGACTAAACCTAAACTAAATTCTAGAAAGCAAACACAATCTATTAAAATATTTTTTTGGGATTATCTGACTGTTTTGCGTTGATAATTTGTATTCATTTGACTTTTGTTGTGATTGTAGTTTTTCGTACGAGGGCCGGTGGAAGCAGAAGTTGCAGACGTCGGTGGACTTTCCCCTGGACTGTCTCGACTTGAGTCAATACGTGATCGGACCCAAACTGAACCTGAAGAAGTACAACCTCTACGGGGTCTCTGTGAGTTAAGATTCAGTGTTCAAATCGTTATTACAACATTCTATGGCAGAGGTCTCCAACCTTTTTCCTTGGGTGAGCTATACTCCGGTGCGACTTATATATTAAAATTTTCAGACTGACAGCCACTAAAGGGCGCTCTAGGCTTGTGTATCAGTATCGAGTACTACTATTACTCCTGTAACATTGTCACTTCACACTCTACTGCGCATGCTTGTAGAAAAAGCCACTGTCTTGCTGCAAATAGTGAAATACTCAGCCGAAAACAGTAATCGAGCAGCAGAAAGAAAGTTTGGAGTGAGCGAGAAACTTGTGAGGGATTGGCGGAAAGCGGGGATGGAGAACACAGCTTCACGGCAACCGAACGGGTGCACCATGAAACTTTTCTGGAAGTCATTGGATGGATGACAAAGCATGGACTTCAGTGACAACCGAAACCATCCTGTCGGGATTCAGAAAAAACGGAATAATTCTAACTGGATCTGATGCTGAGTCTGACAACAGCTACGCAGAAGAGGAAGCAGCGCTCCGTTTACATCATGGATCTATGGTTTATCTCCGGAGGTCGTGCAGAAGTTACACAGAGGATAAAGAATTCAATGGATTTAGTGATTTGGAGTGAGATCGTGAGTATGCATAAGAGTAGGGGTGGCCGAGATCTCGATATTTTAAATATATCGAGATATTTTTTATACATGATATGGATTTTGACAAATACATGCATGTAGCACCATACATGTCACAACACAATATCGGTGAAATTATTATTTTTGTAGGTGTAATTTTTTTTTTTTTCACTTTATTTCTATCTATGTCTCTTTTGCAGAATCACTATGGGGGTCTGGATGGCGGACACTACACAGCCTACTGTAAGAACGCTCTGAAGCAGCGCTGGTACAAGTTCGATGATCACGAGGTTTCCGAGCTCTCCACCTCCTCCGTCAAGTCCTCCGCAGCCTATATCCTGTTCTACTCCACTCTCTGATCACTTAACCCAACCTCAACGGGCTAAAATACTACAACAACTACAACAGCTACTACTACTACTACTACACAGAGCAGTGTCTCTTGTCGATCTATGGATTAAGAGATCTTGGTTAATCTGCTCTTGAAGGCGCGGTGGTCGGCGGTAGTTTCTGCACGCGGAGATGAGAAAGAAAGTGGTTATGACATCTTGGGAGTGTTGCAGTGCTTTTTAAAGTGCATAGAGGAACATTTTACTGATCATCTAGTGGCCTACTGACTGCGTTGATGGTCAAGCTAAGGCTGTACTTTTAGTTGCTGCAGGTTAATTCATACTGTGTAATATCCATAAGGGTTAGTCAGCTTGTACATAACTTAACAATGCTAAAGTTGCACATATAAAAATGTAAATAGTCTAAGGGCAAAAGATGAGACCTGTTTTAAGTGACCAAACTTCTCCTTATGACGTAGTAGCCACCATGGTGTTATTATTATTAATTACCACATGGAGTTTTGAGTAGTTTTCTGAGCCATGGAGGAAAATTGCAATTGTTTATTGTTCTGATCATTATTTAGCCACATATTTTGCACTTACAATATGCAATCGGTCTAGTTTATGTAGAGCACATTGTTTAGTATCTTTGAAATGACACTGCTTTAGCCTTTAAACTGGTTTGAATGGAGCACTTGTGGGAAAAAAAAAACATGCATTGCTTAAGTTACTACGATTATCAGCCTATTACTTTGAATTTTAGAATTGCCAAATCTGCAAATCCCATTATTCGCTGTTTTCTGATTTATAGTTATAGTTATAATGCTTGATCACGAACATACCTGGAGTTGTGTTTTGTTTCATTCACACATGTTAAACTCACAAATCCTGCATATTTAGGCTGAGTTCTTCTCTCAAACTGAAAAACACTTAGTTCCACCTTGTGATGTCATGTTTGAATACTGGAAATGCGTCTCCCTTCCCTTCTCCTCCTCAGCTGACAGACGTAAAGCTTGATGAGAATTCTCGAGCTGCTGCTTAATTATCATCAGAACGACTGCAAAAAGTTTTTATCATGTTTGTGTCCGTGGCATAACGACAAACAGACGACACGAGATGCCAAAAAAGCCAGTAGCAGCTGAAGTTTGTGTTTTCTTCCGGTCCAACCCCTTGTCGAATCAGAACCCTTCCAGAGCTCCAGTCGTTGAGCAGAATTAAATAAAGCTGATTTAACGTGTTTTCCATGTAAACTTCAATTCGGAATTATTATTTCTATGTAAACTTGAAGGAGAATATTTAAATTCTGAACTATTTAATTTAGAACGATTAATTCGGAATTGAATTGAATTGTAAACATGGCCACTCTGTGTTTTTGAACTCCGTACATCTTCACTTGAATCATTTGGATAATTTAAACTCTGGAACTGCCAATCTCTACTGAACTAAAGGTAAACGGAGCTGTTAACTTGAAAACTAAGAAGAAAACAAACAGACTAATAATAAAGGATTACTCAGACGTGTAAATGAAACAAAACACAACTCTGGGTATGTTTTTGATGACGTACCAGCATTCTAACATCGCAAAAGTCTATTTGGTGTAATATAAGACCTTTAATCGTTGTCCTTAGAATCCAACACATATGATACAACACTGCGATAATGAAGGATCTAGACATGTTATTAATTAGTAGGAAGGTTTATTTGATATTTCACAAGTGCTTCAGTAATACTCAAGTGTCAGTTCAGCAGACCATCTAACCACTTTAAGGTCCATTTATTACTGTGTCACGCCTATAACACTCGTCTTATATCTCGCATTAACATCACTATAGAGCAAAAGGGTCACCTGGTTTGATGCTGGAATAAAGGTGCACTGTGCAACCTTTCTGTCAGGGGGCCTCGTCTCCATGGAGATATTGGATTACCTGGAGTGTTTAACAGCATGGCATTAAACATATCTAACTTATCTCATGTATATATTCAATTTCAGGTGTTTTTGTTGGTCTAAAATACCATGAAAACACTCAGCATTCTTACTGTGAACAGGGTCACCTCTCCACAGATCTGACCAGTAACATGGGCTGGGGAGGTGTCACCTGCTTGTCTCCATGGAGATAGATAAATGCTGTTGAACATTTTAAGGCCAAGCAATAACCAAGCGACAAAATGGTGACGGACGCTCGACTAGAAATGTTCCACAGTGCACCTTTTGAGTTTTGGGGTGGTTTGAGGTTGGTTGTGTTGGGTCTTCATCGATGCGTTGTCTTGGAAACCATTTAGCACCATAAACTGTCTGTTGGACTTTGGACAGAGGATCTTTACAGGACCAGGAACCAGATTTGACTGGATCGGACTTGTGGAACTGTCTTGCCTCGCATGACGACATGATTATCTGTTTTCTTGTACTTGTTGATTTTATTTTTATTGCTCTAAAATTGTTTCCGATATAACAAATATATTAACCAACAACTTATATGACTATTTATTAAAACGGCTTCAAATTAAGCTTTGAATAGTATTTGTTTTAATTTAATGTGTCTTTATGAGTCTTAAGAGTTTATATAAATTCAAGATCCCAGAATTTCATATCCTCAATGATCGGAGCATTTTATTGGAGAGATCTACAGCCCTAGCCTGATTCATCAGCTGCTGTCACTTCGTGGAAACCGTCTGACATCGCACCATTAGGATTCGTTCGCTCAATGGTAGGCGGGTACTTTTAAAAATTTAACCAATCGCTGCTATTTGGTCATGATGTATGTAATGCTCCACTAAAGGGGCTAACGGTATATTAAGCTTTTCCCAAATTCCTTAGGAAGAAGGGCAATAACATCTTTTCCCTTGATAAAATTCACAAACATTCTCTTGGTTCCGGTTTTAAATCCTCGATCTCGGGAATTGTTACCAACACAGAATGTATGGCTTTGTCTACATTCATCTCGACCGCTTTGTTTACTGTTGTGCTGTACCACAAAAGGGACCCAGACAGGTGCTTGAGTCTGACGTCATGGCTTCACAGCTCTTCACTGATTGACCGGTTTGTGGTCCACAACTTCCAGGGTTCTTGCAAATCGTCTAGTGTATTCTGATTTCTGACCTGGTCGCTGGAGAGAAATGAAATTGAGCGGAGGCACTAGGTGGCGCCAGCCTGGCTACTACTGTTCGTACTCTGTCAGTAAAAGAACGTGGTTTGGAGCAAAACTCAGACTTTAGAGGAACAAATCTGACTTTATAATGTTAAATGATACTAAAATGTCTTCCTGATGTTCATAAATTATGATTTGTGATGAGCCTACCATTTTCATGTTTTCAATGGTAAGAGAGATTTTTTTTTTTGTGGACTCACCGCTATCACTCAGCCCTGGTCTTGGCACTTTCATAGTTGGAGTTTTCATAATATGTAAAACAGCAAAATTCCAGTAAGATATTTAGGATAAAAATGTTTGATTACATTAAGTTATGGTGACAGATTGTAATGATGATTTGCTTACCTGACCCATACATTCAATACCTGCATTGACGTTTGCAGTCTGCTGTTTTGTCCTTGGGCAAGACACTGAACCCATTTTGCCTATGCATAAATGTAGTTAGAGTAGAGGGCTGGGTATCATTAACGAGCTGCTGATACGATACATTTTTCAGTACAGTGATTTTGATTTGATACAATATATTTCAAATAGATTCGACACGTTTCAGTGAAAAACAAAGTCTAAAATCATGGCTGTGATTTTAAAAGTCACTAAGTTTGTGCAAAGTTAATATGAAAAACACCCATTTTACTCAAAACAGTGAAAATTTCAACACAACTGTAGCTCTTACACAAAATAATTTAGTAAAATCTACCCAAAAATACTCTTTGCGATATATTGATACAGCAGCCCATGATATCGATACTGTATCATCAAATTAAACAATACAATATATCAATATTTCAATATTTTTGCATAGCCCTATTAGATTGGAGGTGCTCATATTGACAGCCTCACTTCTGCCAGTCTGCCCCAGGGCAACTGTGGCTACAAAAGTGTCCCACCACACGGACTTTGGAGAGTGAATAAATACGCAAAAACCCCTCAATAACTTTAAAATAAAAAAAAACATGCATGTGTACAAGCAGGTGCTCATTTTACAGCACGTTTATTTCCAAATCTTCTTTAATTTGAGGTCAGAGATGGTTGTGTTTCTTACAGCCCTTGTATCTGCGGTTTGTGGAAAGGCTTGCGGCTGTAGAGCAGGATGTACGCGTGAGGAGACTGCACCAGGACGCCCTCTACTGGCCGCACCACAGAATCATCAAAGCAGTGCCAGGTCTGAGTCACGGTGTTGTAGCTCAGAGCTGTGTAGTGTCCCATGTGCAAGTGACCAATGTGGTTCTAGAGTAGGAGGAGGATGATACAAGGATTAATAAAAATTTTTGTTCTCTAAAAGTAGATTTACGAAAAGTAGACGATGTAAAATGTTAATATTTGCATGTTATTGTTGTAAATTTTCCATTAATTACATAGGAATTAACTTTTTTTTTTTTTTTTTTAACCATAACCCGTCTTGCAGGACCCGTTTTTTTTAGCACAAAACTCGTATGTTAATCCTGTTATGTTTTTTTCTTAGTTTGGGTTAATTTCTGTACATATTTTAACATGTTTTGTTGATTTATTCTTTTACATTCCTGTTAATGAAATGTGACTTAATTTGTAGCATTTTCCACCTTTTTTTTTGTTACTTCCCTGACCCTAGCGAGCTGGGGCGTAACAGCAGCACAGTGGTATAATTCTAAAATCCCTTTGTGAGCTACTTGGGAGGGAGTGGAAAGCTACAGGTTGGAGAAACCTGACTGAGCAGCACTGATTGAACGATGCAGATACAGAGGACAGATTTCCCCCCATAACCTTAACCTAAAACCTTCCTGTTATATGTTTATATTTTGAAGACTTATTCCTATATTTGAAAGATATATTATTTAGTTTTTACATTAAAATTTCTTATGGTTCTGAAATAAATGGCTATATGAAGATGAAAATAATAATACAACAGTTAAATGAGCGTATTAGAGTTTGGTTGTGACTCACCACGACGGCGTACAGCCTGTAGGAGGAGCAGTCTGAGCTGAGCGCAGAGCTGGAGAGGAACGGGCTCAGGTCCAGAGTCTCTGTCGAAAACTCTACATTTGTCTTGAGTTTGACTTGGCTCCTTCCTTTACAACCAAACCTGCACGAGACAACACAGGGATTTAAAGGGTCACTCTGTAACTTTCCTGCCTGCTTGTTTCTGTAGAGATGTTATTGCATCAACTAGGATTTTCCACCATGCAGCACTGAACTCATCTATCACCATAGACACAAGCAGGAGACACCATCAGGCCAAGTTACAAATCAGATCTGTGGGGAAGTGTGTCCACTCACAGTAAGAATGTTTGTTTATCAAAGCAATTTTGAGACACCTGTAAGCAAATTAACGAAAGATGCAGTTTCACGGGTTATGCCATACTGTGGAACATTCCACGTATAACATTTCATAGTTGCAGAGTTTAGATTTCATAAGGATATATTAATGTATCATCATATCTACAGTACACGAGGGTCCTGCATTAATGGAGACGTTTCTATATAGGATGTTGTGGATGAAGAAATAAGAGTTCATTCATAGTCATTTCAGTGTTAGAAAGTTACCCAGTGCTAGCCAGGCTGGCGCCACCTAGTGCCTCAGCTCAGTTTCATTTCTGTCCAGCGACTAGGTCAGGAACTGGAATACACTGGACGGTTTGCAAGAACCCGGGAAGCCATGATGTCAAACTCAAGCACCTGCCTGCGTCCCTTTTGTGGTACAGCACAACAGTAAACAAAGTGGTCAAGATGGATATAGACTAAGCCGTACATTCTGTGTTGGTAACAATTCCCGAGACTGAGGATTTAAAGCCAGAACAAAGAGAATGTTTGGTGAATTTTATCAAAGGGAAAGATGTTATTGCCCTTCTTCCTACGGGATTTGGTGCATTACATACGTCACAACCACACAGCAACGACTGCTTAAATAAAAAAAAAGTACCCGCCTACCGCCGAGCGAACAAATTCTAATGCTGCGAGGTCAGATGGTTTCAAACATATCTGGAGTTGTGTTTTGTTTCATTCACACGTTTAACGCACAAACCCTGTATATTTATGCTGAGTTCTTCTCTCAAACAGAAAACACGCCACCTTTATTCCATCATCATTTCATGTGGTAATACAGAAGGTGCACCACTGTGTTTTTAAACTCTATACACCTTCATTATATTCTGATATTTCAGCCAATCTCTATTGAACTAAAGGTTAAAAGGAGCTGTGAACTAGAAAGCTACTGCTTCATGACATCACAAGGTGGAACAGAGCATTTTGACCTTGAAGATGTTAACAGAGTAATAATGAAGTGTTACTCAAACATGTGTGAATGAAACAAAACACAACTCCAGGTATATGTTTTTAACAATCTAACATGGTTTAAAGCTCACAAGAGTCACTTTTGTGTAATACAGGACTTTTATCTTATTGTCTAGTAAAATGCTGTCTTTAGTTATTACCTCCGCCAAGGAGGTTATGTTTTTGCCGGCGTTTGTTTGTTTGTTTGTTTGTTTGTCTGTTAGCAACATAACTCAAAAAGTTATGGACCGATTTTGATGACATTTTCAGGATTTGTTGGAAATGTGAAAAGGAAGAACTGATTTCATTTTGGGGGTGATCCGGAAGAAATCCTGGATTCTGGATCACTTTGAAATTTTAGTTAACATTGTGGTAAATGGGGCCAAAAAATTTGTTTCTCAATATCTCGGTTAATTATTGACCAAACCCCATGACATTTGACTCAGGGATGGACAATGGGATCCTCTTTCATATTCCAAAGGCTGATCCGGATCTGATCCAGAAGACTGATTTTATTGCAATTTATATAAAAAATGGGGGTAGTCCTTGGTGGAGGTCTGCGCTCTCTGAATGCTTTTCTAGTTTCATAATATTTTTACCGTTTGAGGTGCAGGATGAGGATTTCGGGGGGTTTGTCGAGATACGTGACCACGGCAGTCTCTCTCCTCAGACCACACTCAGAGCACAGGACCCCCCCACTCAGGACGCTCTGCTGGAAGAACAGTGACAGGCAGTCCTACACACAACAACATGAAAGAGAGGGGGTGAAGCCTTGGATTATTTGCGTATATACAAACAAATTATTTTAAACATACAGTACATACATGCAAACAGATTAACAACATAGACAGAGAAAACAAAGCATTGGGGTAATTAATTAATTCAGATTGAAATTCTTTATAAATTAATGAACATGTAATCAGCTTCATGTTATCTGCAACATTTTGAGAAGATATATGTCTTAATTGCTATGACAACAGTCCAAATTTTTTTCATTCTAAAACCATCAGATATGGGGATCATAAATCACTGGGTCCGTCTGACTCCCACTTATATAACTTATATTTGAGGGTGGAAACAGTTGTGTCTGCTGAGCCTTTACACGTGTTAATGACTGCTCTGGTCTCAAGCAGAAATCAAATCACATTCATTTACACAAAGACAGATTGAGAGAAATCTTTCCACAATATAAATTTCCATCACACTGCCTGTATCAACAAAACCAAACTGTAGCTGGAAATGTTCTTACATTTGTGTCTCAAACATGAATGAACCACTTAAAAGACAACTTCTAATTAGTTAGTTCTTCTAGTTAGTTAGTTTTGCAAAAGTCTCTTTAGAGCAGAAGTAACAGTTTAATCTGTCTGTACCTGTATGGAGCAGGAGATGAGGTCTGTGGGGATGGGCAGAGACAGGATGGTGAAAGGCTGAGCGCTGTGAGCCTGATGGTCACAGTGTAAACACAGAGTCACTCCACTCAGACGCCCCTCAAACAGACGTGACACCACCGTACTGTCCGAGCGCAGGCCCGCCCTCCTCTGCTCCCGACCCAACTGATGACGGGAAACCTGAAGGAAAGGGATACCGCTTCAGGGTCATTTAGAATTTTAGTGGAACCAGTATCGTAGATCTCATGGTAACATAAAGAAAGTACAGTTATTTTGTGTCCAAAGTTACATTCTACTGGTGGTATTTTTATTATAAAGGGGCGGCAGTAGCTCAGTTGGTAGAGCGTTTGTCCACTGACCCACATGTTTGCGGTGCGATTCCAGCTCCCACAGGTGAATGTTGTTGTTGTGTCCTTGGGCAAGACACTTAACCCACCTCTCTCCCAGTGTCTGCGTACACTGGTGTATGAATGGGTGTGTGAATGGGTGAATGAGTGAGTTTTAAAAGCGCTTTAAGTGCCTTGAAGGTAGAAAAGTGCTATATAAAAATGTGACCATTGACCATTTACATTACATTTACATTTAAAGTGTCAACCACTTGATTATGATTATGTAAAACAACTAAGGTAGGACACTATAAGCTTTTAAACTACTACTCCTTTTGAGCACAAGTACATATCCTTGTTTTTGTTATTGTTGTTGATTTTGTTGTACCTTGCTCAAACAAATAAAATGGAATTAAAAAACAAAAAAAACATTGCCATTTTGTCATGAAAAATCCAAAAGGTAAATGACAAATACAGAATCTGCTCATTTCTTTTAGTGACTAGAACCATTAACTTAACTTGTATTCCAACATAAAACAGCATTTTATTATTAATTTTAGCTGCCCCTCTGTGTGTTAAATAGAATTGGCCTAAAGAATGTTGTGATTTCATCTGAAACTCTGCAATTGCTTGAAAGGTAGCATTTTTTTCATCGTATCGCATCAGTGAAAATTCAGTCAATTCCTTAAAATTGAAATCAAGTTTAAAATGTTCGCATCATGGCCACACTATTTCACATCCACACACCTTCTTGAGATCGTCGTGCAGGGCGTTGATGCAGTACATGAGCAGCTCCTGGGCGTCCTGCTGCAGGTGGTTGTTGAACTGTGGGAGGACGGAGCAGAGCACACTCCTGGCCTCCAGGGGGGCACAGCGAGCAGCTCTGCCCAACCACATCTGCTCCAAGAGGCGCACAAACACCTCTGCCACCCGGCACTTACACCTGCAGAGGAGAGGATATGAGCTTTATTAGTCTATCCATGGGTTTCAGAGTGAGGAAAATGAGGTCCATTGCCATAGTGACTAACAATTTAAATGTCTTGTATTACTCTACATTCATTCTTGTGAGTTTTAAGCCATTTTATAATGTTGTTACCTCATCCAAAACATACCTGGAGCTGAGTTTTCTTTCATTCACACATTTGAGTAATTCTAGTTTATTAGTGTGTCTACATCTCCAAACGTCAAAATGCTCTGTTCCACCTTGTGATGTTATGTAGTGGTAATTTTCAAGTTAACAGCTCCTTTTACCTTTTGTTCAGTAGAGATTGGCAATTCCGAGATTGAAATCATCCAAATAGTTCTAGTGACAGTGTTGTTTTGGAGCTTAAAAACACAAGTTGGAACAAAGTTTTCTGTGATTCAGCCTAAATATACAGAGTCTGTGTGTTAAATGTGTGAATGAAACAAAACTACACTTATATTTTTGATGAGGAAGCAACATCATAACATAGATCAGAAAATAGCCTAATATTAAAACTACCTATTATATGTTTTGATTGTGAAAATGTACTCAAAATGGAAGCCGATATATATACATAATACGTACCCTGTATCATGACATAATACTAGTTAAATTTTTTACAAAATTGTTGTTAAAGGTGCACTATGTAACTTTTCACCTGGATTGTCCTCAATAACATAAGAACTATTATAGTGTGTGACCTGCTGATTTGTTTCCTGGTGTCCGGCTGCAGCAGATACTCCACTAGGGGCACTGTGGAGCAGAGACACTGGAACACTGCGTTGAGGTAACAGGAGTTGCCTGAGTTGTCCAGGCCACAGACTCCAGGCTGGTTTTTCACTGACTTCTCATTCTTCACAACTGGACTACAGCTGGTCTCAGAGAAACTGCCAAATGAAAACAAAATGAAAACCAAAACATTCCTTGGCAGTGTGATGCTAACTGTAGACACTGCTCTGTCTGGGGCTTAGACCTACTGTATTTATCGTCAAAATAATCATCAGTTCAGAATCTCAGGTATATACAAGAGGTCATTTGTTCATTTTTCTGAAAGCAGCCACACCCTTCGTTTGCCCTGCTAGGTGTTATTCTACGATACTGTATATTTTTTGTATTTATTTTCAGTTTTATGCAGACCCTTGTTTGATCATAATTTCCACTATTATTTTTCTGAGCAAATCTCTAGTATGTAAATTTAGGTCACTGAAATGGCAATACAACTTTTTTTTTTCAGATTTTTTTGTCTAAGCTATATTTTAACAATAACCAGAGAGAACTTACTTACTTAGAAACTAGAACAGGTGGGCTGATTTGTTAAACAAGTCCCTCTCAAATAACATTAGTCACTCTCTTGTCACCTTTTTGTTTAAATCACCTAAACAGGACCATGAACACTTGTACTGATCACATTTTCCTGAAAATGTGTGATTTAAATCAGTGTTTCCCAAACTTTTTTTTCTGGGGACCCATATTTTAAAAGTCACAAACCTTCACGACCCAAGTCAGTAGACATTATTCATAAATCTCAAAATAAAGGTGGATTTGACCATTACTGAACATTAATGAGGATATTTTATTGTTGACTGAGTGAACGTGTCTCTCAATTAGTATTACTCAAGTTTTAAACAATGAAAAACAGTAATTGAACCAGCAATGAAAGGATCCATAAGTCGCCTAATTGGACATTAAATATAGCCCTGTATATTGCAGACGTTACATGCTGATTGTGACAAGGTGACCTAAAAAAATCTCTTGCAACCCACTTAAGTGTCGCGACCCAGTCTTTGGGAAACAATAGTTTAAAGCAGACATGTCAAACTCAGGCCCGGGGGCCATATTTGGCCAACGATATAATTATATTTGCCCCACGAGATCATATCAAATATGTATTACAGCTGGCCTGCTGGATACATATACATGGCTATAAATACAGGCTATAGAGACATTATTTATTTAAAATGTATTTTATATATTGCTTGTTCTGGATTCAATGTTTAAGCAAAACTATTAAACATTTAAGGTTTAACATTACATATATCTCGAAAGAAGAGAAAACATGCAGATGTTGTTGAATTTTTTCAAATTAATATTTATTTTGGCCTACGACTTAGTCCCAGTTTTTAATTTTAGCCCTCTGCGAATTTGCATTTAACACCCCTGGTTTAAATCAATTTTGTATTAAAATTTTGTATTAAAATGAAGTCATTGAACATTGCACCATAGACATACATGCATGAACCCCCACTCCAGCGCGACATCACTGCAAAGCATCTATTCTCACCTCTGGTTGGTTGCGTCGGTGAAGGGGCCGTCCTGGTAGGAGCTGTGCAGTCTGGGCAGCACCGGCACCGACACAGGGGGGTCCACCACGAGCTGGGACCCCAAAGACCTGGTAAAATCTCTGAGCTCCACTCTCCTCCCCGAGCCCTTGTTCTGAAGTGTATGGAGGACAAATGTATTGATGCAGACCACGTGTAGCGCCCCCCATAGGCCGGGCAAAAACACGTCCACCTCTGAGCCTTTGAGGTCCGACTGACGAAAGAGAGCAGGTCCAGTCCAGCCCTGGAGGTGAGTGGCCGTTTTGGTTTCCTGATTTGCTTGTTGTTGAGTTGTCAAATCTAGTGACATTTTAGCATTTGTAGGAATGAAATGTATATTGAGACCAAAGTTAGAAAACACGCCAGTAAGTTTCCCATCCATCCACGCAGAACTGTTGATCTTAACAACGTGGCTATTACAACAGAATGGCCTTAAAAGATGACAGATAACTTGCTGAATTACAGGTTTTCTGCTTTGTTTTTGCATTTGTTCAGGGCAATAAAGAAACATGTTGCAAATGAAACCAGTGCTAACATCACAAAGTAGGGCGAGATGCAAAGATGAAGGATCTTGCTGGTATGAAAGCTGGTATTTTTTGATCGTTAAACTGTGTCCAGGTGTGTACAACATCTGGTAGCGTCTTGATAAATGACTACAAAATGCTGATAAGATTTCAAGTTTGGTCACATCGTCCAATTTGGTAAGGGACATGACATGTGTTTGAAAACTGTTCCTTTTGAGAACGCCTTGCCAACCATCTAAACTCAAATCTGAATTGCTTTCCTCATCTATGAAAATCCCACTTTTCAAAACAACCGAGAATAATGTCAGGGCATCCATGAACATCCCTTCGGTTGATAGGTCTACATTCTGGTCTTTGGTTTGGCTGTAAGAAGAACGATTTGATCCAGATTTGGCGCTGCCCGCACGTCTGGTTAGCTCCTGAACAGCACCACGGTCTAGGACTTCCATAAACAGTTCCCTGGCCGTGTAGTAGACCTGGTAAGTGGGACCATTGTGGGTTTTGGAGAGAGGTTTGATTCTTTTGGGTCGGAAAATATTTGGGAGACATAATCCGTTGCTCTGAGCGGATGCATCGTCTGAACTGTGGCACTCCTCTGAAGTCCAAGAGCACTCTTTGATGGATAGAGCCTTGGGTTTCATATCAGCAGGACCTAAAACGAGAGAACAATGCAGAGACAGATCAAAATTTACCATATGAAAGCTATATTAGGCTATTTTCTGTTTTATTTTGGGTCATTTGCACTTGTTTAGCACACAAACCCTGCATATTTAGGCTGTGTTCTTCTCTCAAACAGAAAACACTGTTACACATTATGACAGAGATGTAACGATATCCAGATCTCTCCGTATGGTATTTTCACGATATTGCATCTCTCGGTACAATATTTATTGCGATATTTTGTGAAAGAAAACTGTGAATAATACTTTTTCCTTTTAAAATGCCCTCACAAGCCCTTGATTCTGTCATAATCCAAATAACAAACAATTATTTCTTCATGTAATCTGGACTGAAACAGAGCAAAGGATCATGGTCTGTGTAGTTCTCTCTGCTTTCTAGCTATTGCTGCACCATCATTTTTCATTTAAGTGTAGAGACTTATAATTCGATATAATGTGATGGCCCACGATGTTATTTAGAGATTTTTGATATTTTAGTTATTGTTTACATCCCTACACTATGATGTCATACAGAAAGTGCTCCAATGTGTTTTTAAACACCATACACCTTCACAGGAATTGCCAATCTGTGAACTTCAAAACTACCACTACAGAATTTTTAGCAACTGGTGTTTTACTTTAAGGCTTTGGATATTTCACATGAGCAGAGAATGTTTTGTCGCCCTCTACTGGTGACAGTGGAGAAGGGAGCATGTTCAACTGGTTAACTAGAAGCATGGCTATTAGTGACATGATTCTAGCAGATAAAATGCTCCTCGAGGTTATTCATATTTTATTGCAGCAAAATGTCACATATTCATGAAAAAAGTATGAATTTCCCTCACAGAAATATAGAAGTATTCAATGCAAACAATGTGGTACAGATTTCAATGGTAATGCATTGTAGAGTTGTAAGACTGAATTAAAATTGCAATTTGAATGACACAATTCACAAAGGCTGCATGCAACTTTTTACTAGCCAGTCTGGTGCCACCTAGTGCCTTCAATTTAATTTGTCTCCAGCGACTAGGTCAGGAATTGGAATACACTAGACGGTTTGCAAGAACCCCAGAAGTTGTGGACCTAGCACCGGCCAATCAGCGAAGAGCTGTGAAGCCATGACGTCAAACTCACGCGCCTGTCTGGGTGCCTTTTGTGGTTCAGCACAACAGTAAACAAAGCGGTCGAGATGGATGTAGACGAAGCCATACAGTCTGCATTGGCAATGATTCCCGAGATCGAGGATTTAAAGTCGGAACAAAGAGAATGTTTGGTGAATTTTATCAGAGGGAAAGATGTTATTGCCCTTCTTCCTACAGGATTTGGTACATTACATACATCACGACCAAATAGCAGCAATTGGTAAATAAAAAAAAGTACCCGCCTACCATCGAGCGAAGAAATCCTAATGCTGCAAGGTCAGACGGTTTCTATGAAGTGAAAACGGCTGATGAATCAAGCTAACTTTTTACCACAGTACCATAATTTCCTTCACTAAAAACAAAATATACAGTCTTATTTTGCCTAAAAACTGCAGTTGGGATCTGATTGTCCAAAGGAGTGTTCCAAAAGATGATTCTTGTATTAGATTGTCAGTTCATATTTCAGTCTTTTTGTTACTTCTTCAAAACATGTTTAAAATGTGAACTGTGAAAAGAATCATATTATTATTAAAAGTATAAATTGCAAATGTAAACTCAATTGCAAAGCTTGTCATTAGACATTTTCCCCAAGCTGTTCTGCCCTAGTTTAATGTAATAAAAACACAACACAAAAATTGTACTCACCTCTGCTCAAAGTTGAGTAGTTCCCCTCTGTGTCTGATCCCAGCTGCGTGGACGTCCTCTCTCCCATCGGCTGCTCTCTTGTAACCCAGAATGAAATGTTTACATCAAAGCTGCTCTCAGATGAACCGAAGGACATGTCTGGTCGATAAGGGAAAGAGATCTGGTTGTCGGGGGAAACTCCAGGGATCTTTCGTCTCTACAACTGTGTCCTGGAAACACACAGGGCAATGCTCAGGTGAACAGACAGTTTTAGACCTGGGACTCCATGTATTTAAACCTCATTTAGTCTCAGTAACATTAACGTAGAAACACAGTAGTTAGTGGCAACGTGACACATATTTGGCTTTCCATATTTGCAGAAGTTTACGTCTTGTTGCATTGTTTAATTTAAACATTTGTCATTTCTATGCACTAAAAGATCCGTTCTGCAATGGCTATTAAAAATATTGTTTATTTTTATTGAATTTAATTACTTTATAATCAGTTGTGCATTTACTCTGTTGCATTTACTTACGTGACTTTTTAAAGAAACTGTACGTTTAAGAGTATTTTTCTAGCAGCATACTTTTACTACAACTAGAGTAATATTTCTGACTACAGTAACAGTACTCTTGAGTACTTGAGTAAAAGTTTTGGTTCCTCTTCCCACTGTGAGCAAGTTTACAAGTGAGAAAAGCTTTATGTCCACAATATCAAATGATCTGAACATTTGTTTTTTGTACCTCTCCTTCAGATATGATTTAATTTGTCTGTTCTTTAACAATACCAGAATCTGTCCATTATTTAATGATTTGTCCTTCAATTGCATGCATAGAAATGAAAAATGTTGAAATTAAACAAAGTAACAAAGTGTTAACTTCTGAAAATATGGAAAGCCAAATATGTGTCAAGTTACCACTAATTACTGTGGTTCTATGTTAATGTTAAAAGATCAGTTTTACTTTTAAAAATGTTTATTTTTATTGAATTTACTTTACAGTCAGAGGTGGGTGGTTACATTTACTCTGTTGCATTTACTTGTGTGACTATTTAAAAAACCTGTACTTTTCAGAGTACTTTTCTAGCAGCATACTTTTACTTCTACTTGAGATTGAATTGAAGTAACAGTACTCTTGAGTATTTGATTAAAAGTTTTGGTTCCTCTTCCCACTATGAGTAAGCCTACATGTGACAAAAGCTTCATGTTGACAATATGAAATGACCTGAACATTTGTGTTTCTTGCACCGCTCCTTCAAATAAGATTTTGTTTGTCTCATTTTTTTTCCTCTTCTCTGAAAACACCAGACCATTATTTAAAGATTTGTCCTTCAATTGCACACACAGTTTTAAATCAGGTGTTATGTCCCAAAAATTGCTCTTTAATTTACTCTTAATAAAGCAGTAGTTTTCCCAAATACAAGTCTGAAATTGAGTAATTTGGACTTGGACCACTACCTTGTACTTCTACTTGAGTAATATTATTTTGAAGTAATGTTATTGTTACTTGAGTACAAATTTTGGCTACTCTACCAACTCTGTTTATATTGATTTTAAGGCTTGAATAGTTAATAAAATAATACCTGTTTGCACCTAGAAAAGTTGACAGTAAAGTTGATGGGTTATAGGCTTTGGTCAGGGCTATTCATTAGCTCACTGAGAGTAAATGGTTTAGAGATAGTAATACTAAAACCTGCCTCCAGAGGGCAGACTTTATCAGCTAACCAAATAATGGAGTCAAAAAACACCTCAAAATCAAGTCATCTGTTATCCAATATCTATTACATGTTTAGTTTTATTCTGCCTTTATAAAAATCTTACTTTGAAAATTAAAAACTGTGGCTATCTTAAAACTATAATAAGAATCATGAAGACATTTGTTTCTATACAAACTACCAAATTGAAGGCACACACATGCAAACATACCTGGAGTTGTGTTTTGTTTCATTCACACACGTTTAACACACAAATCCTGCATATTTAGGCTGAGTTATTCTATGAAACAGAAACAAATACAGGTAATACAGAAAATGCCCCATACACCTTCACTAAAATCTTTTGGATAATTTCTGCCCTGGAATTGCCAATCTATGCTGAACTAAAGGCAGACTAATAATGCAGAATTACTCAAACATGTGTGAATGAAACAAAACATAGCTCCAGGTATGTTTTTGAGGCAGTAAATAACATTATAACATGACTTAAACCTCACCAGAGTCACGTTTGAATGATATTGGACCTTTAAACAAAACCTGAAACCCACGAAGAGGGAAAGAGAAGGTGATTTGCAAGTAGCCTGATTAGTTTGGATTAAGTATTAATGAAAGCTTGGTGCACTTTCCCAGCTGCCCTTGTGACAGTCC